AATCAAAACACCAGATGTTTCTAAGATTGGTATTTCAGCGGACATCAAAACTCCTGATATAAAGATTAAGAAAGGAAAATCACCTAATGGTTCTTCTGATATTGAATTCGACATAAAGGAAAACGTTTCCGTTGGTATTCCATCGGTTTCTGTTCCGAGTGTTGAAATCAAAACTTCATCAACTCCTAAAGTGGAGGGTCACGTAGAAATCCAAGACAAAGATTTCAACATGTCAATGCCAGATATAAAATCTACATCGATTCCTCATATTGGTCAAGACGTGTCGACTACTTATGTCACAGATGAAAATATTCCTGATCGGGACATCGATGAACGAGATCTTATTCGTGGAAGAGAAACTGTTGTTGACAATTTGGAAACCAATCAATTTGTAAATCCAAACATAAGTTCACCGTCTTTCTTAAGTAAATTGAGAAAAGGCCTGAAAATGTCAACATCCAAAACGAACAAAAAATTAAAAGATAAGGGGGATATGGAAACTGCAGAATCAGACGATATAACGAAATCGTTGTTGAACGATTTTATCGAAAAGGAACGTGAGAGTACCGTCGTACAATTTTTACCAGAAACTGATACTAATACCGAAGTTGACGAAGTGCCCGGGTACGAAGCAAGTTCGAAAACTACAAAAAAAGTAGACGAATTGAAGGTCGACAAGCCGGATGTGTCCCAAATGTTAAAACCGTTCACGACTGAATATCAGATCAACCAAACGGGCACGTTCAACACGTGGAAATCACGAAGGGTTGTTCGACGCATTATTATCATCGACGGACAAGAGATCGAGGTGGAAGATACAATTGATGAGCCTGAGCCTGGTGCACCAGTTAAAAATATATTGAGAAGAACGATCAAGAACGGCGTTGAAGTAGTTGAGAATATTATCGATCCGGAGGAAATAGAGAAGATCTTACGATTGTCTGTACTTAATGATGTCGTAAAAAATACTAGTGAAAGTGTAACAACTACTAGAACGCGTAGAATCATTAGGCGCAAAATTATTGTCGACGGAAAAGAGTCCGTAGTAGAAGAGGAGATTGACGAACCTGGTACTGGTGAAATAAGGGATCGTGTCATTGTTAAATCGTTTAACGATGGACCAGAGATTGTAGGACAGTTAAAAAATCTTGATCAAGTTCAAAGTATGAGTTCTATCCAAACATCTGATAGCAGCGTAGTGACTGACCCTAATTTTATGACGGAGGCTATTACTAAAAGTATTATAAGGCGTATAGTAGTTTTGGATGGTAAGGAAAAGTTTATGGAAGAGGTTGTTGAGCTACCGGATTGTGAAGTTTCGAGATCAAATGCTGATAGTCTTGAGATTGTTGAAGCTATTGATAATCCAACCGATTTCCTTAAATTTGAAAGGGATCATTGTGACTACGTTCATCCTAATGAACATAAGTCTACAAAATCTAATATATTAGAATCCATTGAAAAAAATATTATCCAGTCAGATTCGAAGAAAATGGTATTGAAAAAGGTGATGGGTGATAATGATAGAGTTCAATTCGTGATGGATATAGTTGATGATCAATCACCAAGAGTAAAATCGATAAAATTAAGTGAATTATCTGTTTTATCTAATCGTCTTAATACTATTAAAAATAATATTTTGAGATCAGACAATAAACACAAATATATTATGTATTCTCTATTCTTTGAGGAGATTTTTGAGTTATTGGATGTTATCACATACCACGTCTCAAAACATAAAGTAAGTACTCCTTTATTTTTATTTTTTTATATTTATAGTATAGTTAACTGAATATAAGTTTGTATGTTTAGATCTGCATTACGTAACTCACCTAGTTGTTTTTGAATTGTGCATCATATTAGTTAGTGTTACTTATGTGTTCATTTTTGTTTCAAACCAATCATATATTCACAATTTTCTTTTTGATTATTTACCATTGGCATATAAATTAATTTGAGATTTGAAATTTGATATTTAAGATATTTTAAAAATAATTGAGGCATTTATGCATATTTAATATGAATTTTTTAATGCTATAAATTAATCATTTTACTGATTTTAAATATTCTTTTTCTAAAAACAAAGTTTTTCGTTCTCTTCAAAATTATGTTGTAAACATTAAATAAATTAATGATAATTATAATGATTTAATATTTTTCAAGCAGGGTTGGGCTGAGTGTTATGCTGCTGCATTCTAATATTTTATTGTTTCAATGTTTTTATTTAGAAAGTCATCGATGCGGAAGTGGAATTTTGTTTGGAGGAACCTATAAACTCAACACAAATTTTAAATCAAATTGAATCAGTCGTTAAAGAAGTATCTAACATAAAAGAAAAACATACAAGTACAAATGATGAATTTGAAAAAATTAAGTCTATGATTGAAAAACTACAAAATAAAACAAAATTGGTTAAAAGCCAAATTGAATCTTTCGACGAAGATATCAATTTAGTTGATTGGCAGAATCAAATTTTAGCAATTGAAAATATTCATAAAAAAATAGAACAATATAAATTAGAATTTGAACAATTAAAAAAAGGAAAATCATCATACCAAGTAAGTTATAATTTTGATTTTACTAATACTATTATTATTCACCATTTTAAATAGAATAATCAAAACATTTTTAAATGTTTTATATACGTTTCTTTATTGTTGAGGTCATATATGATGTGTAATGTTTATTTTATTGTTTAGGAAAAACTTCAAAAATTGGAAATATTACTCGATAATAATCAATTAGTAATTGAAGAATTATTTGATATTATCAGTATTTACAAAGTGAAATACAACTCAAAAAATAAATTACCAGATGACACATATAAATATTTAAGAGCTGCGATCAAACTAGATAAAGAAATAGGAAATACAACCAAATTTTTTATTGATGAAATTGAAAAAGATAATTTCACCAATTTGAACTCTAAACAGTTAGAATTGGTTTGCTTACCTGCAAAAAATTACGAAAATACAATTAAATACTTTAACATTAAACATATTCTGGTATGGTGGAGTTTAAAACAATTTACTGTAATTTTTTATATTCACTGATGGAAATATTATTGTTTTAGGAGGATCTTGACAAATATCACCACGTCACTACAAAACTGATCAACTTAAAGACCTTATTAGAATCTCAGAAACCCGATAAAAACGCAATAAAACATTTAGATACGGAACTGAATACTACGCAGTCAAACATAAAAAAACTTCTATCCATTCAGAATGAGTGGACTCGTTTAGAAGATATTTTAACGGCCGAACAAAAATGGTTAGATGAAGTTGGAGTGTCAATTCTTGACCTAACGAAAATAACGTCGATAAATTACGTTCAAACACTGTCTAACACACAAGTAAAAATTTAAAACAAATTATTATATTATTTTTTACTGTCGTTATGAAAAATACTTAGTACTGTGTCAAATGTATATAATTTGTTGGTTAATTTGAATTTTATTTTTGTCTTGTTTATAGAATACTATCACAGATGTGGCTATACATTTCGACAAACTTATATATTTGAAGGACATTATAGAAAAACTCCAGAATCAAATTGATGTGAAACCGTTATTGTATGTTTGTGAACAGCATACAAATGATACTTTCAAACTAAAAAACAATTTGAGGGCGAAAGAAATACGCTTGATTACATTCAAGAAACAATTTGACAAGTACAGTGAACTCAAAAACAACATTGAGTTGAATTTATCAAGCATTACATCAAATTTAGAAATTATTACACCAAATCAAGAAATTGTTAATAACAATGTGAGAATGGGTTACTGTTAATACCTGATGCAAATAATATTAAATTATATATGTATTTATTTGTAAAATATTTTATTAGATGATTCGATACGAGCTGGAGATTGTAGAAGAATCTATTAGAACTTGTTCCGTTAGTTTAAATGAATCACTTGATATTCTGCCTATCTCCGATGGACAAGGTGAAATTGAGACCATGGGGTCACTTGCAACGGAATGTAAGGCACTAAAAGATAAACTGCATAGAACAAGATCTACTGTGGACAATTGTGATGTTTCAAAAATACTTAAACGCCTTGAAACTTCTTTAGAAAAACCGAAAGACACATTATTAGACCATATTAAGACACTCAAAGTATGTATAAAATAATTAATTATTTTTTATTTAATTGGAATAAATTAAAATGTATTTTATCTACAGAGTGTTTCGTACGAAATAATCGACATTGGGAGTCTTGAGAACCACGACCAACAATTGAATACTTTCCAAAGTCAATGTAATAGCCAACTAAAAGATTATATGGACTTAAATAACAAAACCGAAAATTTGCGTAATACTCTATTCGAGCTAATTAACGACATAAACAATGCTGATTACACTTTGTCAGAATTGGAAAACGAATCACATAAAGACAGACACACTTCCGAAACAGCAATATGCAAAACGTATCATGTAAGTTGTACTGTTTAGATATTTAATTTTTTCAAAATTTTAAACCCCGTTATTAAATTTACAGCAAGTTTCGGACAATATGAAAAACATGCAACAAAAGCTGTCATCAACTTCTCAACAGTTAAAACAGTTAAAAGATGGTCTTAAGCACTTTAAAAAAGACAGAAAATCATTGGAATCCGAAGTGAATGAAGTTGAAAAACGGTATAAACAATTAAAAACAAAACATCAAAGTGTACTCAAAACGTTGGAAAATAAATGCAACTATTGGACAATGGTTGACGAGCTGTTACTAAAAATTAGAATAAAAAATAACCATACAAACAATTTAACTATAATTCCACTGGACTCGGACACTCTAGCAGACAAACATTTAGAAGCAATATTGAAGCACCTCAAGGTAAATATTTAAAATGTTTTACTTTATAATATATTGATTCACAATGAGACACGGTATGGTTCAGTAAATTCCAGCAATTAACTGATGGTTAAAAGCACCCGGTGCAAATGTAATTTTGTCGTCCACAAAAATACGCTCTACGACAAGGCTGCCCAAACCCAGGCCCTTAAACACGTTGAATTTGACCTCTGACATTCTATTGTATTTGAACTATTATCATATTTTCTTTAAATTCGTTGTTTTTAATTTAAAATTGTATATATTAGCGTGTGTCCAGTTAGTAGGTATTAGGTACGTGATTATTTTTCCAATAACATGTTAACATGTGGAATTTAAGACTCACTTTGATTTAAATGCCTTTCTATTGAACTATTTATGTATATAAGACTGTAACCAAGTCTTATTCATAAGACATGGCCCACCAGATTAATTTAACTGAAATTGTAGTTCGCTTCCAAAATAAATTAGGCAGCACTACTCTACGAAAAAATATGATCCTGTTCTGCAGAATAAACCAAATATAATAAATTTTTTTAACTTAGAGAGGGTAATATTCTACAGGGTGCATTGAACTTTGTTTTTCTCTCCAGCTTTATAATATTCTTTAAAAATAATTATACCATTATACCATAATATATACATAATTATACCATTATTTGAAATAAAAATTAAAAATCGAAGTTTATTGCGGGCTGTAGTCTTCTTCTTTCAAAGTCGAATCAAAATCCGGCAATTCTTAAGGACTAAGAATTATTCCTATAATTTTTTCGATTAATAGATATCGGGTAGTAGTTTGGTGGAAAAGTGTAAAAAGTGTTGAGTATTTTAATTAAGGTGGCAACTAAAATATAATCAAATCAACATTTGAAAAAAGCCAGCACCGGGTTCCTTAATTCAAATCTTTATTTTTCTTAAAAAAATTTTCTTGACGGGTATTCAAAACAAATAATTTCATAGTTTATTTGTTTTTATTTGATGGCTAAAGATACAAGTAGATCGTTTGTCATCAAACGCGTGTATTATGATTTATTTAAGATGTATAAACTAACAATATAGCTGATAAGCAATAAGTTCTAATTGATAAAATTAAAAGATATCTAATACAGGAAATAGGTGCATCACTGCACACTGAGGTCTTCAAAAATAATATTTGTTATAATATTTGTGTTAAAAAACGCTCACTCATCCGTAGCAGTTTTCTCGTAAAACTCATTGTCGATTTTTTATCATAATAAAATATCATAGAAATCGATACAATTTAAGTATAAAACAAATTGTTCTACGAATAACTCCTTATAGCAGTATAGTGTATTTACCTTAAATTAATTAAAAATTTTATTTTTTTAAATGTCACTGTGGAGTGCTATATACTATTCCTATATATTGTCATTATCTACAAAAGTAGGTACAGAGCATGATGATTATCTATGATCACAACTTGTATCCAAATAAACAATTTAAAATGTTTAAATGAGTGTAGTTTGTTTTTCTTATAAGACTTGATTTAATGATTCCTAAACCCAAAGTGTTTTTTCTCTTAACCACAGTAGGTACTGTGCGTCTGAGCGAGAGATAAATAAACACAATATTTCAAGATTCACAACAATAATATCGGCTCATTAACAACAATCAATGGCGGCCGATTTCATCGATTACGCACGGCCGTGGTTTCAAACTCGGCGGCGTTCGAAAAACATTTAAAAAAAAAATATTCTACACCGGCCTAACGAATCGTTTCCGCGGACGTTTTCCCGCAACGACCGACTTCCGACCGCATGCACTGCAGCGGCGGTGGCCAAAGAATTCCGCCGATTTTCGACGGTCGTATACGGCACATTCTTCCGACGTCGTCCAAGACCAAACGACATGTGCGTACGAAAATAATACCATTCTATTTCCGGTGCGCGTTCCCGTGCCGAGTACATATTATAACACGACCGTCGGGCTAAGCGTTTAAGTATTTAGTGCTCGTATGCCTCTCGTCTGTCACTACTTTGGTATATGACGACGACGCCCCTCACAGTGTACCTAAATGTGAGCCGTTTGCCAGGTCCATTGAACACATTGGGCCCCAAATAGTCAATAAGTGCCGATAAAGACTTATTTACTTGAGAAATATTACTTAAATTTATTGATATTTTGAGTACAATTTTTATTCTCCAAAATCCGATACACTAAAGCTGTAGGTTTTTGTGCTTGATTTAGGGTAACGGTGCTAGAGACTGAGTATCTACTGCAACTATAATATTGTTCAGATATTTTAGCATATCCCTACCTCCTTTTTTTACGTAAATGCACAATATAGTGGTACATTACTTTAGAAAATGGGCTGACGAAGATCCTTAAAATTGGATTCTATACAGTAAACCTAAGTATTATAACTCACTAAATTATTTATTATAATATACTTAGTGTGCCACTACCCGTGGTCTGCACACCCGTAGTTACACATGGAATTATATTTAATTAACTGAATATAATTTATATTGTACATCATACAGTTTATTGATTTTGCACATCGATAAATTTCATTCTTAATTTAAAATAAGCGAGACACGAATTCCATTCAAGACATTACCATACTAATTTATTCTAAATACAACATTTTATTTTGAATATTTTTGTATATTTTAGACATCAGTAGGTACCTATGACAAAATCATGTATTTTAATTTCATATTTAAGTGGAAAAGTGATTGATTTCGCCAAATTTGATATAATATATTTTGAGCATTAACACATTTTAGTATAACAATTTTAATACACAATTTATTTTGCACCCTCTTCAAACGTTTTTTTTTTTATGTAGGTATTATTAAATAATATGCTTATTCATTTATTTATTATTTCCGTGATATGATAATTATTTGTTTATCATAATTGTATAATTTTATTTATTACCTTTCAGCTTCACTTTTTCAAGCCGTACAAAAAAAAAAAATTTAAAAAATATATAAATATATTACATAATATATTATACAGTTTATTTTGCATATTTTGAAATTATTCCTGAATTTTTTCTTTTTTGAGTGCTTAGAGACATGCAGATTTCGCGGGTTCTTGGTTCATTAAAATCCACGGCCACTGAATTAATAATAAATAAAGATGATATTTGAATTTGTCGTCGAACATTCGATTTCCGCATTATTGTCACTACAACGTATCAGCTGTTCGTTTGGAACCCACAACGAATTTAATCGCGTTAGTGGAGAAGCGAAGTTTTCGAAAATTCTATGCAATAAAATTTAACTTTTGATAAATCCTATGATTTTTCAAAAATTTGCGTAGCCCCGAACATGACTTATCATCGATGTATCGTTACGATATACATCCGCTGCGCAGCACTCATGGCCACACACGTGGTTGGGGGGAAGGGGGGGAGGAAACGTGGCCTCTTGACATTATGCGTCCGCGTACATCGTTAATCGCGCCGTTTATCCGAGTATTGTGACGACGGCGGCGACAACGACGACGCTGTAGCCAGCCGCACGCGATAGTCTCGCGCCGGCAGTAGTGCACAGTGTACGTGTCGAATTTTTTTTTAAATTTGTTGTCGCGATTGCCGCCGCCGCCGACGTAGTGCTGTGTGGAATTCGCGCTCACGCCAGCTGTGCACACCCGAAAGCTGCAGCCCGACTGTATAGGACCGAGTTAAAACGATTGGGTAACTGCACTCGTATAATGATAGTATAGGTACTACTACGCGACAATAATAATAACGTGGTTAAATATAATATAAATATTGATAACCGCTCTGATGACGGATTCTGTCGTAGAGATCGAATAATTTCACTCGATTTAGAGTGTACTAGGCAAATATATACATTAAAAGTCATTATTACTACAATGCAACGAATTTGTAATCAAAGAAAAATGTATAATACCTGCAATATCTGCTTAGTGCCGAATATAAAGAATTGCATAATATTATTATGAACAATTTACGTAAGACCGAGGGAGAAGTGCCGGTTGCTTTTTTAAATCGTAGACTTGATATTTATTAGTTTTTACTGTTTTTGTTCTATTCTATATGTGTTTTCAATAAGGTAAAATTATATCATCGTAAATAGTAATGATATTATTCACAAAAATCAAACGATTAAAATATTAATTTTATAATACTATAAATGAATATTAATTATGACTTGTATACAAATTCTTCGTCTAGGAAGACCAGAATCTCCTATCCCTAAGTGTTTATATGTTCGTTGTTCGTTGTACACTTGTAATTTAACCAACCATTGCATAATAATTGTGTTCATAAACTGAGTTAACAACAAAACGTTATCACATTACCTATATAATATGCAAGTAGATAGGTAATAAATAATAATTTAGTTGTTTAAACTGATAAGTTAAATAGTCATATAATTAATAATATTGTGATGAATAAAATAAGATTCTACTTTTGTTATTTTAACATTTAATGGACATTGTTAGGCGTTAAAAAGTTTTAATTCCGATGAAAACCGTAATGAAGATGTTTCCATAGTATATTGATAATTCAAATGTACTTAAAAAAATAATAATTCTTCCGACTTTGATCTCATGTTAAGATATTTCCATTAAAATAAGAACTTATGCTATTACCCTGAAAGTAACAAATCCTTATGTGCCACCATGATTTAGATGCTTAGGTATAAACCATATTTTTAAGTTGTTTTATTACCTATATTTGAAAATAAAGTGATCAAGACAAATATTAATTTAACTTCAAGTCCTCGCAATATTGTAAAAATAATAGAATGACAAACTAAGTTTAAAACTGTAATCATTGAAGGTCTGTGTTATTTTGGAATTCCCAATATAAAGTAAACAAATGTTTAACTCGAAGGTCTCATAGAGTCTAAGTAATATTTATTTATCTAGGATTATCTATAACAGTTCGTTATCTTTTCATTAACCTTATTATTTCACATACATTTCAAGTACAGTAATTTATTTTTTTTCATAGTACGATTTTTAAAATCGATATTGATTACGTCATCATCGTTCAAAATCGCTAATTTTATTGCTGGCATACTAACTTGATAACAATGCTACAGATGGTAGTGTCGATCATAAAAATTAATATTGATTGAAATAATTGTTTATAAATAACTATTTTTTAAATATTAGAAAAGCTTCTGACAAAACACAGATTTCAGTGTTTATAGTTGTTATAAAAGGTTATAGGTAATGCCTTGATAACTTTTATAACTTAATCAATTAGTGCAATACAGTGTGAGGTGATGACTATTATTACACGTGTGTAAGACGGCAAACAATTTTTTTAACGATTTGCCTTCCTTTTTAAGTTAATAATATTAATATATTATTGTAAATATAAAAATACAAAACAATATCTTCAAATTCTATACCTACTTGTTGTATTTTTAATAATCATGAAATTTATCGTTTAACAAACAACTAATTGTTAACAAAATAATAATTATTACAATTAATTATAATTATGCTTTCATAGTTTCAATGATTCTTACAAACCTGTACTATACATTTTGATATTATTTTAACAAAAAATAAAAATGTATTACTATAATATTTTTTTATGTTCTAATTCAAATGTAATTAATATTTTTTTCGAATTTATATGTTCATAAAAAAATAACACCATAATATATATTATGTTCTATAATTGTTTTACATTTTCTTTGAAGATTTATATTTTACCATTAGTATAATAAAATCCAATTCAAATTAACACAAATTTGAATAATAGTTTAATCAATCGATTATAATATATTCGATACATTTCTAAAAATATTAAGACATAACTAGCTTGAACTAGTAATGATGGATATTATTTTATATTCAATTCCAAATGTCTACTACAAATTTATAATTTTTATTTGTTCTAAATATTAGGTAGGTAGTAATAAATATAAGCATAATTTTTAGTTAACAAAATATAAATAATAACAACCTTATAACAAACAGATAATGTGATATTGTTTTAAATTGTGTGTAACAATACTTTTCTTTAGGAGCCGTTAAGTATGTTATAATATTTTAAAAGCATTCTTATTTTCCATAGCTATTGACAACACTTAATAAACTCAATCGCATAATAAGTGTTGACGATATAATTTATTTGCTGAAATGATAACTTCAATATATTATACACATAAAGACCACTAAAATGTACATTATGCATTCTGATCATACTAGACAACATCAGCATAATGAATAGCAAATATAACACTTCCATTTTAACTTATTCAATGCCGTTCAGTTTAACTTTATAAATAACTAGTGGTTTGCTTAAGTCATAAAAACGTATAGTTACTACAGCTATATCATAAACTTAATAAATATAAAAACGATTCAAATATTCTTTAATCTACACAAACTCAGTTACACAATATAATTTATGATTTTGGATTCTGAGAAACCTATTCTATTAGGCAATGATATTTGAATTTTTTTTTATTGTTTATGGTGAATTCAAATACCAAAAAGTGTCATTAATTACTTAATTAGACTATGTACATTTAACTATACATATAGGAGGTATTTCAAAGTGGTATTTTTTCAAACTTTACGTTAGTTGTTTTGTGAAATTGCGAAAATTGTTTTTAAAAAACTGAGAGAATGTTGAAAAATATTGACAAACACTGATTTATATCACATTTTACATGAATATTTAATGACTTTCGAATATAAACATTTATCGTTGCTTATATATTTAATGATTTCCGTCTCATCAGTCCACCCACAACTACAGTATCGCAATTTTTTTTAGAAACTAGTAATTAAAATAGGCAAAAGTTAATATGGGGTATATTAACACATATTATACTCGTAATGTGTATATTTTAACTAATATATTATGTTCATCGTTACTTTCACTGAGTATTAGTACTGCTGGGAATCGTATAATACGTTCGCATTAATATTGCAAAATGTGACTGCAATACAGATATGAACAATACAGTTATGTCTTTAATAATTAAAGTATTTAATTATTTGCGTGCATTGGTTACATGATTTATTTGAATTCTTTAATCATAGAAGTAATTGGTCCGTTTAATTGATATGATACTTGAAAATAATACATAAATAACTTATTTACGTATATATTGTAATATTGACTATTGTTTTATTTATAGGATGTACGCAGCTCTTACGAAAAAGAGAATAAAGCTATTTTGGCTGACATTGAATCCCTGCGTAGAAAAGGAGACAAAGAGCAAATCGACGAAATAATTGAAGGCGATCAGACTCAATGGAATGACACCGGAGCGGCCGTAAAACAATTAGTAGAACGTTATGAAAAGGCATCCAAAACACTACACAGTTATCAACAACTAAGAGACTCTACAAATGATTGTTTGAATAGTAAACTTTTGTCAATTGAAACTACCGAAGATGTATCTGATAAGACAAAGTCGATTGATAAACAACAAGAAAACCTTGTCGAATTACGGAACATGATATCGGACGTGGCCGAAACGATTGGATTAAATCCAGATGACGTCCCACTAAACGAAATCGAAGAACTGAGTTTGAAACTAGAGAAAGTCCAAAAAGTTCTCGCTGCACTCGGAGATGTTGCGGACAAAAAGAACAAAATGTCGGACGACATCGAAGATGCGAAACGACTTTTGCATGATATCGAAAAAGTATGTCATCAATATTTAACAGAATATAATTATAAAATTTATTTGGTGAAAATGTAGTAGGTATACATACGAAAACAATAGGTATCTTTACTACTTATTGATTTGCCCTCTTTACTAATAATCCGATAAAAAGTTTTTAATGGTTCCTAGAAGTAAAAACAAAGGCGTGCTATTTTCAACAAAAACAATTCCCAAAAACTTTTAGCACCTTCCCTGCGTTAGGTATTATAAAAGTTTAAACGTAATTACTATTATTCTCATCTTAAACAAAAAAAATAACACTTCATAAATAGTATTCTTGCTGCAACAACATTTTACACTCAAATATATATTTAATGTTTAAATAATGTATCATTAAGCTTAATTTATAAATATATTAATTAACTTTTCAGAATTCATCAAAATCAATCAAGAACAATGACGAGAACCTAAAAGAATTAAGAACTAAATTGTTAGATTTAAACAAATCGAAAAAAGAGATGGACGAATCTATTGACATCGATAACTTTGAAATACCTTTAAGTGAAAAACGAACATACTCTATAATCGAAGTATTCCAGGTAAAACCGATTAAATGAGACATTGTAACCGAATGTACATGAAAATTAATTTTTTTGTTGTAGCTCTGGCAGCAAATATTCAAAGAAACGTTCAATCAATATCGTAGAGTGTCGTGTACTTTACTTGAGAACGAAAACAATGTCGCTGTATTTGAACTATGGCACGACTATTTGATGTATGTACAAGAATTTTTAAAATCTCCGGTCCCGGGTGATTACCATTCGCTAACAAGTCATGAACGACTATGCCAAGTACATCAAGAAGTATTGATCAGTCAGATGGATACTATACCCAATTGTATGAATAAGCCAGACATCATATCTGAGCCAGCTGCATTGGAAAGATTTACATCTTTAATGGATTTGCACAATGAAACCATGACAGAACTTGAGAACACTCATCAAGAAGTGTGGACCAAACTAGGTCACTGGAAACAATACCGAACAAATGTTAAAAAAGTATATGAATGGCTGTGGAAGGTTGAAAAAGTTCATTCAAATTTAAATCTTAAATTCATTAACACCAGGAGGCTGCCACAACTGAAGTCTCAAATAACTGTAAGTATACAATTTTTAAAGTTAATATTGTCCTGGTCGAGGTACAAAAATAATAACTTGTTTAGAATAACTATTTTCGGAAATTGTTTTCACTTTTTGATATGATTTTTCAGAATCTATTAAATAATTTGTCTGTGGAACGTTCTCAAATCGATGACTTGGAAAAACGTCAAAATACCATCTTCGCGTTCTGTGATAAACCTACCGAAACCGGCCACAGAAAAGAACTGATAGCGATTAGTCAACGAGTCAACGAGATCCAGGCATCGTTAGAAGTTTGGAATGGATACCTAGAAAACGTAGAAAAACTTACCACCGCTTTTGATGTCCAAAGCACTGAAATCGATCAAGTATTGCAAGATGTGCAAATTAAACTTGATACACTAAAACATGAATTTGGTTCTAATGAGGATATAGTGCCATCTGATAAACTGAAAGTAGAGTCCAATAAAATACAGGAATTAAATAACAGCTTGAAACAATTAGATCCGCAACTCTCATCTACTACTGATATACGAGACAAGTTAAAAGATTCATTAGATCCTATAGAAATTCGTTCATTTGGACAAAAACTTAGGTTTTTAATGTATCACCAAAAGGATTTACAATATCAATTGTTTTTGTACTCTTGTCAAATAGATAATTTGTTGTATAAACCACAAGAATTCACTCATAGGTAATTTATATAATATAATGTTTTATTAACGTGTAGTTAATAATATTTATAATATTTTTTGTCAACAGATACACTAGATTTAGGAACTGGGCTGTTGATACCGAAACTCAGTTGAAAAATTTAACTAAATCTTTGAAAGATCCACAATTTGCTATTGATGTGTTGAAACCCGAATTTGAATCTCAGATTAATTCTAAACAAAAAGAATTTAATTGGTTAAACGGAGCTGGTAGTCAACTAATTAAAGCAGAATCACAACTAAATCCTCAATTAGCAAAAACTACCGAATCCAACTTAAAAGAAATCAATGAAAACTGGAATAATTTAAATGGTTCATTGTACAAATATACTGTCGAATTACCTACAACAATTTTGGTAAGTTTAAATAATACATTTTTTTTAACATCTAATTCGATTAAATATTAATTTTTTAGAATACAAATAAACTATTCGATAAAATCAACACCTTCAAAATTTGGATCAGCGACTTTGAATCAAAAATAAACAGCCCAATCGTTTTTAACGATCGTTCAGAATACAACTTGAAAGAAGAATTGAAATCTTTAGATGTAAGTATTATTTAAATATTAACTTGTGATTGAACTTACTCCACATAAAATTTCAAAATGTCTACACGATAAAAATCAGTGATTTTTCTTCATGGTTCTTAAAATCTATTTATACATTATCAAACAATTCAATAAATTATAAATATTTTAATCATATGTAATTTTTAAGGCATTAAGTATTATGTATAAAGAAAAACAAGGAGAATATAACGAATTAATGGCTAATTGCAATGAACAATTAAAGAGCGATAAAAACACAAATGCTTCTGATGCCACTCAAGATTTGCAGTGCCCGTCTAAGACATTACCTATCAAGTAAATACTGCAATAATAAGAGCTCATAATATTATTTTGTAACTACTTAACTTATTGGTGGTGTATCTATTTTTAGCTGGAAGAACCTAGAAAACAAAATTAGCGACAAACGCGTTCGCGTATTAAACGCATGGGAGGAACTTCAAACTATACTTGGCTTGGTCGATGTAGAAACCAAATGGCTGAGTCGGTTAAATATTACCGTCGAAGAACATAATAAAAAGAAATTCTTAGAACATAAAAGTTTGTCTGGCTTAATCAGTAATTTCGAAGTGAGTAAATTATGAGTTCATTCATAGATTATTTATTATAAACAATTTAGATTATTTGTTAATTTCTAATATTATCAAATTATATTTATCATAATAGCAGGAACAACAAACCGCAAAAGACAAGTTTTCTAAGTTGGAACTCGCTGTTTCTATATCTCGTTCTACATATACTGCCAAGTTCGTTGACGAAGAAATAGAAATAATTAGTAAAAAACGAAAATCCCTATTGGAGCAAATCGATATGATACTTATCGTTCTTAAAAAATCATTGACACTGTGGAAAGATTTTATTAATGCACATGGAAGAGCTGTAGTAACCCTGACCCAAGTCGATACCAAACTAATTCAACTCGAGTTGTTAGAAAAAGGTGATAATGCTGACGAAGGAAGTGCTCGTGTTATGGAGAAGGACCTTGGAAATTTACAGGTACTTATCCACATATTCATAATAATAAATTTAATATATTGATGTTATAATGATTGAAACGATTTTATTAAACATTATAAACATTTGGACTTGGTGTATAATGAGATACCATAAAGTTTTATTTTATTTTACATAGATATTAGAAATGGAGTTAAAAAAATACGGAGGGCTTCTTGAGAAAGCAGATGCATTAGGTCTGCAATTGATGACTAATAGTACTCCTGGGGATATAAAAAATATCCAAGAAATGATTGACGAATACCAACTTTTATGGAAGGATATCAACAATCGTATTGAAAAATTGAAGGTGACGTGTGTTCAAGAAACTTCGTGTAGAAAGAAGGTAAACATTTAATTTATAAAATAATTATTAATTTTTCAATAATTGTCATTAATTAAATTATTCGTCTAATAGCGGTCGGTGAACGAAGAAGTTCAAGTCGAAACATTAAAGTTCGGCAAAGATTCACAAGTGCAAGTCGACACTCTTCCCACCGAATTGCTCAGAAAAGACTCATTCCAATACGAATTACAAACAGCGATGGCGAACGCTAATACCAACCTAAACGAGTTAGAATTAGCTATACAAAAATCTGACAAGAATTTGTCGAAAAATATTGCCACCTGTCAAATGTCCATGGACCTGATCAAACATCTCAGTATCATATTAAAAACACAGTGTGGAGTGTCAGAGTCCGACATAACCATAGTCAGATCTGAAGAATTATTGACCAAGTACGAGGAGCTTCTTGTAAAGTTCCGATCACAACAACAAGTCGGTCAACCAAAGTGAGTATTCTGGACAATTTGATTTCTATGCTTTGCACGTTTGGTCTTGATAATCACCACATATTTTCCTTTAGAACTAGCAATTCGGCGATGTGTCCACTGTGCTCTGAACAAAACTGGTCACAGTTCGAGAACGACATGTGGCGCTTGGAACACTGGATACAGTCAACCGAAGCTAAGCTCAGCGTCCAACCAATGGTACCACCGTCGAAGATCGAACAACTGGAAGACGTCATACAGGAGCACAGAGTACGCGTAGTATATACGATGATCAGAGTGACGTGGACTATAATTACTAACGTTTACGTGATCTATTTCGTTTGCAGGAACTTTTGTTGTACTTGGACAGTCACCGTAATATCGTGCAGTCGTTGAACGTGATTGGACAGCACTTGGCCGAGCACAGCAACGACGTGGAAAGAGCAGCTCAGATCAAAAACCGTTTATCTGCTACCAACTCCAGATGGGATCGTGTCTGTTTTGCTTGCACCGAGTGGCAGACCAAACTGCAAACTGCACTTATGGAGGTATTGATCGTAAATATTTATAAATCTAATATGTAAGAAAGTTATTCGATCATAGCGATAAAAAACATAAAACTGTATGAATATATTATCCATTTTTTATTATTTAAAAACATTATTAACCTATGAGATATTGAAATCGGTACTTTACTCAACTTGAATCGTTGACAATGTAATATAATATCATACAACAAATATGCAACGCATTATAAACGTACCATACTTATGAGTAATAATTTAGTGCAGAGTATGAAACCTGGAAATAATGGTAGTCTTATATTATTTAATTTAAAGTGCATTTCGTTCATAAATGTAATTTCGCATTTATTCCAGAACGAGGAGTTTTACGGCGTAATTGACGAGCTCGTCGATTGGCTAGACGAAACGGAACGAGCGATCAAGACGACCGAACCGGTGGACCTGGCTGAGGACACGGTTATCATAGCGGACAAATTCAATAAGTTTAAGGTATATTAATACGCGTTAATGCGAATACAAAAAACGACGTCTCTTTTACCGGGTTCGTTTGCTTAAACTTATTTTCTCTCTCGTCAGAACATGCACACGGAACTGGAGAGGTGCGAACCACGAGTGGTATCGCTGCTCGAGGCGGCAGACTGGCTACGTCAGGCCAACGAAAAAACTGGCGCCTCGACGCGCTCAGCCTCCACATCCGATCAGACCATCGTCGACTCTCACGCGAGACTGTCACACCTCAGGGCCCGACTCACGGTGTTGATAAACATGACTGCCAGCTACGCGACGAAACTTGGCACCACTTTGGGCTATGACATGACGCCGGACAGCGTTTGCATAAGACTCCACCAGGTACGATGCGCGGCGATCAGCCTTGAGGCAAATATCATACTTTTCGCATATTTTAAAAATTATCGTAATTTGTAATAAATGTGTATACAAATAACAGTACCCACGTACTACTAACAGAGGCGGAACTATGCGGTGTATTTATGGTTATGTGTGAGGGGCGTGGGTTAATGATACCTCCCCGACTTCCTTTGAGATTATTTTTTTAAAAAGCTTTTACATAATTCTTTGGTACTATCTGCTGCAGCGATCTACGTTAGAATATCAACATTTAAAACGATTTGAAAATAACACATATTTTTTATGACATATTATGATATACCTCTTCACCACGTGCGGTAATATTGGGTGTTTGGTGGGATACATTATTTCTGTATCCATTTCATAGTTCGTTCATTATATTCCTTTGTACTTAATTTTACTTAATGATATTCTCGTTTTGGACGAGCGCAGTTCAAAAACGTGTGTGACTTTATGTATTTTAGTTTTTCACTCTCGAGGGATAGTTATGTACCCACAACCAGACCAGAGCTCCACGGTGCGGTGTTCGATATTACTGTCACTTTCGTATTATTTTCAGTTTCCGTTTCATTTTCGAATTTTTTATTCGTTTATGATATCGGTTATAATTAATTATATATTATACTATTAAATAATAAGAGTTTATTATTGTTTAAAAAATAAACGTTTTTGTTATTTTTACAATAATTATTTACACGCGTTTCGACGGGACAGCGTTTTACACACGTTCGCTTATATTATTATTGCTTATTATGTTTGTAATACATAAGCCGACCCAGCAATAGACTGTAATAATATTATATGTATTAATATTTTCATAGGACGTGATCTACATAGTTCACTGTTGTACGTGTATATATTATATATATATATATATATATATATAATATTATATATAAATTATAAATTATATAGGTATTATACAGTATTATCGCGTAGACCATAACATTAATTTTTTCGTTAATTTTACTATTATTTTTTTAAGTATTTTTATATATACATATATTTTATTTTTGATACACATATACGACATATACTGTCTTGATTAGTCTGCACAGTTTTTTTTTTATAATTTGATGTTCCCGTTTTAAAGGTGGACGATACCAGCACTGCTATGAATCGAACAAATGAAGAAGAACCAAACACAAAGTAAATATCTCTGCACATTTTTATTAGTACCTATTTATTTGTTATTTAACGGTAACACTTATTATTTTTGGCTTATCTATATAGTGTATTTTTTAATAAAAAATAATAATATTAAATATAAAATAATTAAAGAAATGATAAAACATACATAAATAATGCCTGCAAGTAAGGGGGGACTACTTAAATTATGCTTTCAAATACTAAGTATAATTCATAAATAATATAGGTACTCTGGTCGTATTATATTCCTAAGACAACATTTATTTCTTAACCATTCCCAATATATTTTTTTAATGGTTAATTGTATTGAGACCTTACATAGATCGAATTGAATAATTTAGTCATATGTACAAAATTCATTTCGACGTTGTATAGTAATGATATTTTGAAATATTTATCAACTTTTCGTTGAATTGTTCACACGTGTTAACTCGAAAGACACTATGCACTAAGATACACATTATGTGACATTTATAGGTACATATGTGTATGTATGGTTGTATAGATATATATTATATATAATATACGCTTTATTTATGCGGGGATGAAAACGTTCTAAATTTAGAATTTGGATGCAATCCAATTTCCTTAATTCCAGCTATTTGCGTGTTGTTTCGCTGTAGATCAGCATCACATCAATTCTACGATTTCCTACAAATACAACATTGAAGTTGTTAATGTCCGAATAATTGAGTTGTATAATAATTATTGAGAGTTAATCTTTCAATGAATCATATTAATAGTATAAACAAACATTAAATAAAAAATAATATTAAACCAAAAAAAACATTTTAAAAAAACACACATATTTTAATATTTAGTATTGTGCATGTGGTGATAATACTTTTTTAACCTAGGTACTTACTTAGTATACTTATATATCGTCTTATCTATGTATGTTGCACTTAATAATAATATAATCAGGAAGAAGCATTACTGATGCCAATCATCATACACAGGTCGGTGTCTACTATAAGGGATTATCATTGACTACGGTATTTAAATTATGGGATTGACCAAAAACAGTGGTCGGGGACATGCCTTCGCATGTTGAAAATGGAAGTTTAAGAAATTCGTTTGGATACATTTAAAACATGAATTTATCAATCCTTATCCGATGACGATTAAAATCAAAATATTCTCCATTTCCATTTTGCGTGAACTCAAGTCGTCAGCGTTTATGGATATTCGTAAACAGCCAATAATGTAAACTGTTTCCCAATCCCAACTTAGAAATAGATAACAATTGTTAAATAACAATAATATTCAGTGCCGGATTTTTGACTTTTTACCCAAAAAAAAAAGTGTAACATACCGTAATAAATACATAATATGGTTATTATAATACTTCACGCGCCACGCGGTTTTTCAACAGTGTTGGCGGAGATGAGACGGTGCTGAGACGCGGCTACAGATTCTTCGGCCGGGTGATGCGAGCGTCCCTACCTTTCCAGGTCCTGATGTTGCTGGTCTTGGGCGCCGCCTCTCTGGTCCCAATCGTCGACGAGGAGTTCAGCTGCATGGAGTCCAACAGCATCGCCTGGAGCCTTTACCCGTTACTCCGCTATCCCGGCGGACCACCGCCAGTGTAGAACCACCCCGATGATGACTACCCCCCCCCCCCCCCAACACCACCACAATCACCCATATCGATCGATACTATTTGATCATTATTGTCATTATTTTTTTTAATTATTTTCATTCTTATTCGTATTACTATTATTGTTGTGATTACTATTAATTTTAAACTCACGCATACACACGCCCCCCAGTTGAAATCGTTCATAGCATTATATTGTATTGTATATTATTTGTATTTGCCGTTGTGATTTTTAATATTTAGGTTGTAATATTGTTCGGGGTATGTACCTATCGTGTACCGCGGTCGGGGTCTTGATGTACGAATACCGACGACCGCGATTAACACCTAACCTGTCCCCTTAGGTTATTAAGTCGGTTTTCGAAATGTATTTTAGACACAAGAGAAATATTGTCATATAAAAAGAAACGCTTTAAACATTTCCCGAGTTCGTACATCCGGTGCAGCGCTTTGGGAACACTTTTTAGTTTCCACAGCGTACCTGCTTAATTTTTTGTTATTTCTATTGGTAACTTAGAGTGGCGGTTTCGCCAATAACATTGTTAAGTAAAATATTGACGGTAATTTGTTTATTAGATTTTCACTCTAAATATCATGATATACGACGTTAAATCAAAATGAAACTAAGATGATATTATAATAATACGAGACTGTCGAAGTGCAGGGTACAAAAAAAAAATAGTCGTTAATTTATTAACGAATACCTAGTTGAAAACATACCTATATATTTTCTGTGTTCATTTTTGAAAAAAATATAAATACAAATTGATTGTGAACACGTGTGATTAAAATTACTGTCAATTTATTATTGATTATGATATATATATTTATTTATATTCATTATTTTTTATCTTTTTAAAGTAATAAGCATTATTATTATATAAAATACCAATTGCGTCCATAAAAAAAATCATTAATATCTAATTATTGTTGTTACAAATGGTTAAAGCGTTTTTATTCTTAAGGTTAACTAAAACATTTATACCTACCTATTGCCTAGTAATATATCAACTTAAGTTTCGTGCTTAATATTAACCCTACTAACTCTCATATTATTATTGTTTATAAAAGTATAAAATATTTTAACTTATGTTTAATTTTAAAATTATTATAGATTTTATTCTTTATTTTAGCATATAATATACATAATATATTTGATATTGAATATATAATACATTATATTATTATCATCAAAGTCTTATTTGTTTGTTCATTTAAATTTGTTTTTATATTTAATGATATATTATAACCCATATACAATACAGTCAAAACGAAATTATTATACTTGCACAGCAAAATTATGAATGTTGTCGATTTATAATTAAATTGTCGTAATCTATACAACTATAATACAAAGTCAAATAGAAAATAAATATTCGCCTCAATCGTTTATTATGTGAATTGTGTAGATAAGATTCTGATCAGTGACGTGCCCGAGAAGGTATTAATGCATAACAATTTTTAAACCATAAATTAAATTTATTTATACAATTTACCTTAGTTATTAATAATTATCAAATATTATTAAAGTTAAAATTAACAACATTATGCAATACAAATGTTGAGTGTGGCTCGGCATGGCGCGTTGGTCGCATTTCGCGACTGGGAGTAAGTAACGGCCACAGCTACTAGTTCCCGGATGGGTGGCCACCCGGGTTCATAGTAGTTAAAAACCTTGCCACACAAACCTACCGTAACAACCAAACAATCATAAAAAACAACCTACCGTACCAACCTCACCACTACCACAGTTCATAACCCCTACAACAGCTAATGGCCTTAGTCGCCGGACTTAAGTTCAATAAAAAAAAAAAAATGTTGAGTATTTAACAACCGTTATTGTCTTGCATTTATTTCGGTCATTAAATGCATCAGATTTAAAATGTTTAAAAATAAAAATACATACAGTTTCAAATTCTATACTATCTACAATATTATCATTAAGCATTACAAATAATAAGGACGGATAGTGAACATTTTGCAGTAACTAGTTTAAACAAATTAACAGATTAAAAATAAGAAAATTTGAAATTCGTGCGAGGTGTAGGTGCAGATGAGCTCCAGTCAAAACCAAATAAGTCAGATGGATCCGTGGAATAAGAGTGTAAACTTGACTGCAATAACTTATATTTTATATATTATATAATATTATACACTTTAAAATTTAAACAGATAAAAAAACAATAACATGTATAGTACATTATTCGTCAACACCTGGTGAACATGTATATATTCAAATAATTCATCAATTGATGGGTTCACAAATGTTATTGTAATCGATATTTCAGTTTCAGTGCTTCCTGTATAGGTATATTACCTATATAAACGCGTCTGAGCAAATTCGTCCGCCTAATAGTTATTATGATATGGTACGCAGTTCAGTCAGATCCATAAATAATAACTTCCTGTTTGTCTAAAAAAAAAAAATTAAAACCGATATGGTGAGACATTTTCAGGTAAGTAGGTACATGTACAGTATGTATTACACATAATCCATTGGTCTTCTAATATCGACCAATTGTTTTCACCCAATTCGGTGAATATATTACATTTTTTTCGAGACCCATATGTAGTCTTGATGATTATTGGAATTAAAAAAATATATCATATAAACCCAACGAATTAATAAGAATTTTTTTAAATTTTTTATTTCATTGTTTTTTTGTTAAAAATGTAGAATCTCACTATAATATTTTTACGATACTATAAATTTGATTAAATCATTCAAAGGTCATCGCGATGTATGTTGTTGGGTACGTACATACATCGCGACCCATCATTATATAGTCGAAAATCACTGGCACTCCTGTCTATGCCTATAATACGTATTATAATGGATAACTTATTTTAAAAAATCAAAAAAAAAGATACGTACTTTTTGTCCACGTGTTCGCCCATGTATGTACTTTTGGCGGATTCGCCACATTCTCCCAATTCGTAGTCGCTCCATTGCGCACATTGGAGTGCTTTGGATCCGTTTCTAGCCAAAATGGAGTGAGCGAAATAATCGTAAGCTTTGGCGTGACTGCACGCACCACCGGAAACTAGAAACCGTCTCGACAGATTAATTATTACACGGTCTATTCAATAGACAGTCCTGAATACATATCGATTCATACTGCTCTGTAAGTATGTTATATTCACACCTAATCGCTATTAGAATTTGCCAATCGTATTAAGTTATTATAGCTACGATAACAGTCGAGTTTTTCATCGCTATACACATCGCATTACTCTCTACAGTTTTGGTTTTGGTAAAAAATTATCTCGACAACTATATTGTGAAATATTATAACACTGCTATACCAACTGTACGATTTTTTCCTTACAATATCTGAGTTAAAATAACGTTTTAGAACTGACAAAAACCAAAAGCTCCATCTTTACTTCGCAGCTATACTAAATTTATGACATCAAAATTAGAATTGTCTTAAACTGACTGATCTATTCTCAAAGATATTACTAACCGATAATACAATTTCCTAGGAGTTTTAAGCATTTTTATTAAAATTTTTATATCCTGAGCGGAACGATGAATGTGACGATGTGTGTTTTATTTTTTTTGTCTGTAATCACGTTTTGTGGCAGTAAAAATGTTCCGAATTTCTTCTTCGGTGTCTTTTCTGGTAGGAAAATGAAATTAACTGGTACTTCAGAGAGTCAGACGTAGTTTGAAAACAAACTGTAGTCTGTACGAAAGTCCACAATAATTTTGTATGAGCGTCTGAAGCTTAAATGTTTCAAAATAACGAATATTTGCAAAATATTTAGGGTTAGAAATTCATAAAAAAAACGTCTTTTATAACTATGATTTTAACATTTAATACAAGAATTCTCATAAATTTGTCTGTCTGTGACAAACAAAAAATGTCTGCTGGAAAGTCAAATTAAATTGTTATGTTTGAAGTTAAACATAAGATATCAAAATGCTTGAAAATTTAATATAAGGTTTCTCATAAGTTTTTATAATATAAATTGAGAAATATTAAAGATCCATAAACACGATTTTTTCATAAGTATTTTAATTTCAAATTTCGACCAAAATTTCAAAAATGTAGAAAATGTTAAATTTGTATAGCTAAGGATTGAAAATTTAAACAAAGACTTTCATAAATACTGTGGTCACGCTGTAACCAAAAAAATCTTTAAAAATATACAAACGAAGATTTTTTTTTTAAACATTTAAGTTCAAATTCGAACAAAATTAGATTTTTAAATGAAGAATAACTATTTCAGTTATTTTGTTGTAATTTAAAAATATTATTCGTGGATACTTCAAACTTTTAAAGTATATTATTCAATTTAATGATATAATGCTATTTTTTTGGTAAGAATTATATTACCTATATTTATTTTATTTTATTTCACATACATATGAATACTGGGCCCCACTGAGATGACTAGTGTAGGAGTCGATACATAGTAGGTGTATAAACTATACTTAGTAATATAGGCTGCAGACAGATCATCTTCGCTCAGAATCGTTTTTCGTATACAATGATTTTATTAAATTTTTTTTGTTTTGTATAATTTATTATTTAAGTGAATTATCCAAATGGATATTATTTATATTTAAATTATTACAATCGTCTATTTTTTCGCTACTGATATTTAACATGATTTACTTAAAAAGCAATTATACATACCTCTATCTAATACTTTGCAGTTCGGTTGTGATCTTCCTCCGTTTGGATAAAAATCAATATGACCTAGTGGCTTAATCAACCCGAAACCATTTCCGTTTGTATGTATAATGTCTACAAAGGTCGCGTCGTTTTTATCGATCGTGTATTTCGGATCAGTATTTTCGTATAAATGCTTAGCAGGATCTAATCCTTAAAAATACAGAATGAAAACATCTTCAGTATTAGTTTGATAACGAAACAAAATCAAGAAATATAGTTTAAGTCGTTTGAGAACTGCACGGTACAAGCGAAACGAAAGAAAATCTAAATCTGTGGTTCTTGACCCAAAATATATGTTGGTCGTAAAAATGATTGCCGAAAAATGTTATGGTTCACTTTAAAAGGTCATACAAAAAATCTTGGGTCACGTATAAGGTCGAGAAACGCTGCTCTAGATGATTTATGAATTTTCACGAATGATGTAACACAAATTACTGTTGTCACAATCAATAATATTATAACGGTACATACTACGCAATCCATTATGAGGTTATACATCGCGTCTGCTGTATTTATGAAAGCAAACTAACACAATGCATATTAACATATTTGTAACAAAATAAAAACGTAAAAACTATTTTCCAAGTACAGAAAATAAAAACTGGATTTTACTATTCAATAAATACTAGCCCGTTTGACCGTTACGTTTCTTAAAAAAAAGAAATACAACATTGGGTATAGGTATAGTTACCAGTTATCCGAGAAATTTCGCCGTTTAACTCGTTCCCAGTGTGTCCGACGATATGAGCTCCCAAACCGTGACCGATCAAGTGGATATTTTCGGATCCTACACTCATGTTGTCCGTTAACATTTTCAAAACATTAGCTATATCATCACCTATGTATTTAGCATTGATTTTTGTCGATGCATACATTATATCATAAGAGAACTGCTTGTAATCTACGCAAAACACGTTGCACGCGCCCGCGAGTAAGTAAGCTGAAATAGCAAATATTTTATTAACGAACGAGTTTAAATAGATGGCAATAGATTTGTAGTTTATAGTATGGAAAAAATGTTTTGATTTCACCTGAAGTATTACTGTAATATATTCAGTGTTTTGAAGGAACAAGTTCCAAAAGGATTCCTTTTATAGCGAATTTCTCGATAAGAAATGACACATTGAACGAATTCATTTTTATGAAAACAGAACTAGAAAATGAACGAGTTCTTTTTTTCAAGGAAAAATTACGACATTTATAATTTTTTTTCAAGTTCCAATTTACACAAATGTATAAACTCCGCCATAAGTACCTTTTTTTAGTGTAAACTCCGGCAATAAAAAAAAAAGGTAAAATTGGATTCATGTAAACTCTATCAGTGAAGAAAATCGAATCGCAGTATAAAATTAATACATAGGACAGGTATTATGTACATTATTATAATTAGTGTTGAGCCCAGATAAATATAATGTTATCTAGATAAAGATAACTAAATTATTTATTTATCGATCTAGATAAAGATGAAAAAAAAATTTTTTTCTCGATAAATCATCGGATAATTTTTTTTCATTGGTTTATAGCACAACTTTTTTATAAAATATACAATATAATAATTTATGTACATTATATTGTAATCATAGTATTAAGATTGTATTAGATCAATAGAGCATAGTATACCACATATTTGAGTTTACTATTATTCAAAATATTTTTAATATTTTTAAATACATAAAAAATTTAAATTTAATTAATTAATAACTTATTAATATGTACATTCTTTTTTAGACAATCATCCAGCGACGCACCGAGAGCTCATAATAAATAAAACCCGCTGAATAAATTAAATTATCTGGATAAATTTATCTAGATAATGGTGATTTATGTCTTAGATAAATTTGTAAATTAATATTCTCTATGTATCTAGATAAGATAAAAGATAAAAAAATAATTATCTAGATAAACTCAACACTGATTATAATATCTCAAAATATGTACAAAAATTAATAAAAACAATAATTGTCAAAACAAAACATCCAAATTGTCACGTGTATTATCATAACAAATAATTGTAATAATCATAAAATATGTACCTAGCAACATAGGTATGTTATTTTATGTTATAATATGTTGAACTGTAAACTAAAATGATGAGATACAATTTTTAGATGTTCTGACTTCTCAGTCTAGGTAAAAAGATAAAAGAAAAATAAATATAAATCCATTATCATAATTATTTATAACGTTCTCTAACACTATCACTTTGGATTTTTGAGCTTCTTTAGTTGAGATATATTATTAAGTTTTACATCAGCACTATCGGAGTTTCCACACACCCATTAAAAGTAGGAAAATAACAATTCATTACCTTTTTATCCAACCGGTATTCTGGCGGAGTTTACAATCGCCCAAATAATCAAAATTAAAACATTTTTATTCCTATCGTGCCTAATTACCAATCATCTTTATCGAGTATCAAAGTTCATCGTACAATATAATATTAATATATACTGTTTAAAAAATAATAAATATAGATGAATAAAAGAAAAGAAATATATTCAATATTATATTCTTAAACTAAATAGTAAATTATAAATGTACTTGTAGGTATGTGTAAGTATAGTTAAAAAGTTAAGTACCTAAGTATAAATATGAAAAAAAAAATATTGATGGTTAAATAAAGACTAGTATTTTATTTGGAACTCAATAAGGAACTCATTTATTTTTCAAAGAAACAATTTTTTTTTAAGCGATAAGAACTGAACGAATCCTTGTTTTTTTAAATAACGAGGAACGGAACGAATTCATTTTTATATGGAACTTGCCAACACTATTGAGTGTTGGCAATATTACTATTTACTATGTTTTACCATAATCGCATTTTGTTTATTTCTCAAGAAATCAAATTTAAAAACTAGTTCATTGCAGTAGGTAATATGTACGCACTAATGAAGTAATCATCACAAACCTTTCGCTATGTGTGCGCAAAAGCATTCCTTTTCGTAAAAACTCCCAAACCAATCGTGCACGAGAACTTTTGTTGGAATTTCGGCATTAAAGTTTGTCGATTTTATCATGTTTGGATCCTTTCGGTTTAAAAGTTGAGCTTTGGACTGTTCTCTGAAAATTATTAAACACGTGAAACGAGTTAAATGACACAGACGCACGAATATTGCTATACGTTTTTGAAAATATCAAACAATACGGTTTTTTGACTCGCATTATGAAACTTTACCTAGTGTAGAGCCAATAAAATACGTGATTTGACATGTTGTAGATCTTATATTTGTCGTTAAAGAAATGTACTTGTTTGAACGTCGAATCTTGGTGTTTGACCAAATTATCAACGGCGTGGGCTGATTCTAAAAATGTATATAAATTTAAATATTATTTCATACAACAATTATTTGCGAACTATTATCTATTTGTAATAATTTCTATGATTAAAATATAATGTTATTAAAATTTAAGACTGAATAAACATATTTCGTACGTTTTTCGTGAATTCATAAGTCGTAATTATCATCTGATAGTTAAATGACCTTCGAGATAAATGTTGAGTTAATTTATTAAATATTTACTTACTATGGTTCATCTTTGAAATAGTTATTGATAAATTACAATTAATTATTGTAATAACGCAACAAGTGTCGCTTGATCGATTTGTGATGGGACACTGCAAGTTAACCGAAAACCTGTCTACTATTCATCTTGGACCAAACAAAGAATCAGTAAGTATTTTGTATTACGAACCTAACATTAAAAATTATAATTTATCTAAATGAGACCAGAACTAAGACTTTAAAACATTAATGTATGCGTTAATTATAATTATTTATTGTCCTGCTATACTTGAAGTAGCCAGGATGGGCGGATGAATGTTAACTCTTCCGGGTGTACTTCTGCAGTACTACCTAGAGGATTTAATATGTAAAATCAGGTTAACGATAATTAAATCACTTGATAATAATTAATTATAACGATATTCATAGTCTCAGTGTAGCAATACTATCACCATCTTTTGATCATAATGCACTATATACATGTAGACTGTAGAGTGTATTTTATGCAGTTGTACGGGTCTTTTTTGAGATTCAAGTGAGAAATGCTTATTGTTTCGAAACTTTTGATGGTTGAATCCTTAATTTTTGTTTTGTACTTTTATTATAACCACTATCCACTTATGTTTGGTAAATCCATTAGTAGTTTTGATCGAAATAATTGGAATAAATTCAATTGATTCAGAAATACATTATTTATCTTTAGTAGTCATCTATTTCAAATATTTTTATGCACTTGAAAAAAAATCCAAGAAATCACAAAAATAAATTCATTCATTTTTTGAATTGATATTACAACAAATAAGTTGTTATTTATTTCAATTTTTTTTTTAACTAAAATTATGAATTACGAATCGACTAGACTTTAAAATATCGTATTTAATAAAGTATAGTGAATGAATATTGATAATTCAACCATGAGCTATTCAAAAAAAATTAAGCACTACAAGAACTAATTAAAAAAATAACTGTCAACGTTTAGTAAAATAGTTGTCAGCGTTTACAAAAGATAAAAATAAAGTTAATTTTGTAATTAGGATAATTGCATGCTTAAGAGGACGTCGTAGGTATACCACATGTCCACATGGGAGCGTATAAGATACCTATTTTTATTATTTCCAGTCGTGTGTTCTTAGCTCAAATATTAGAATGATAAGCCTAATAACAAATTTAAAGGTAAGAATATTTTTTGTGTTCTCTCAATTCGCTTTTTTACTGTTTTTTTTTTCATGTTTAAACATGTTATTATGAGTATACAAATATTTTTATTTGAAAATGCTCATAGCTTGCTTAAAAATTAAAATATTATAATAAAAACTAACAAGGTAACAAAATAATGTGCATACTTTTAAGTTTTGTTATTGATCAATTTGGTTTAATTTTAAAGATAACAACAAAAAATTAGACTGCTGAACGCTAATTTGCCTATTGTTCATTAATTGTGAACAACGCAAGCGAAAATTATACTGTCTCTTATGAATTTTTAAATTGTCATAACAAAAAAAAAGTTCCCCGTAAAAAATACAGTCCTATATTTTAAAATTTTTTTAATTCAATTTTTTAATTTATATTTGATAAAACACCACACATGCATAACATACACTCTGTATAATATATATACATAGACAATTATTGTGTTTATTGTATACTGACTACAGATAATGAAACGAACAAATAGTAGGTTTGACTAATTCTCCTAATTGCGATAAGCTCCATTAGCCTCAATAGTAACAGCGTCATAAAATTAACATAATTCATATAGGGCAATTTTCTAAGGTATAAAATGTTTTGACTGTTTGTTGATATTATAAATATTAAACATATCAAACATCGATTTATAATATTTTTATGCGCATGGTCAATCCGTTTTGTTGTTTTTGAATATTAAAATTTTAATTCACTATTTATCATTGAATTTAGGACGTCTTTAAGCTATTTGTTGTGCTGTTTTTATGTTTTATTTGGTCGCCATCATCGTCGTGCATAATTAACGGCAGAAAAATTGATATGGATACTTATTGATTTTTTGTGAGTAAACCGCAATAGTCGGCCTGCCACTATAATCTTGACGATTCGAGCGCAGCTTTAGGGCATAACATTATAGCCACTGTATAGCTATAAGGCGAAGTGCAGTTTACTGCGAAATGTTTTCTCGAATTAAACATAAATCAACTTGTACGTGAACAAAAAATTATTAGAAATAGTGTACCAACTGTAAACCATTCGCAAATGATCATCGACTTCATTATTACAAAATAATATCATAAGAGCAGCTGCATTCAAAGTTACTTAAATACGGTTATCACCTATATCTTAGACCAGACAAAATATGCGTTATAATCGGGTAGATCAGTAGTAACGAGATAGTTATATCGGAACGGTCATAGACCATATAACAACTATAATCTTCATTCGAAAAACAATTTTCAGGCGTTTTTGAAATAATGATCAAAACCTATAAGACCCCCCACAGCTGTACTAGACTGCACAATTTAAACTTCAAATTTTGTTCGATTAAAACGGTCTATATCGTTTCTAAACGAGGCACATAACAACTAATGCCAACTCGACATAAACGAAAAGTACTCACCGCTTTGTAACGCAATGCCAAATTTCAAAATAAATATGGCTAACAGCATAACCTCGCCGCAGCTAGCGAAATACTTTGAAGCCGTTATCATTTTTACACAGAGATATTCCGAACGCACAAAATATTAATGTGCGATTAATAGTTTAGGTACAACATAGTTGAATCCGCCGCCGCTGTAACATACTAACAAAAGAAGAATACATAGTAATATAATTATCTGTACACACAATTATTATATTGTCAAATATTGAAATATTGTGTGATAATATTGTACCGTACATGCGACACTATACACGCGGCGGCGACTCGTACACTTGTGATGAATCATATCTCAAAGACACTTAAACACTTCATATAATTTTAATTATAAGACATAAGTGTGCGTGTGCGTGTGTGTGTGTGTGTGTGTGTGTGTGTGTGTGTGTGTGTGTGTGTGTGTGTGTGTGTGTGTGTGTGTGTGCGTGTGGACGTGTGTGTCTCTAAATGAAAAAATCGTTTTTATTTGTTTAAGATTATCAAGAAATGTAGCTCAATCGATTTCGGCGAGCCACCATCATCAACCCCGAAATATTGATTGTCAATTAATATTACAGCGAAACAGGCAAACTGCTATTGCCTATTTCTATACCTGTCTGTAATACACCAGTTACAAATAATAAATAAAGTAACAGTTACAAATACGACATATTATATTATATTATACATGTTATCAGTTTATAGTCATTGGTTAATGATTATGTAAATATGCAATGATATCACCAACTGTACTGTATACTTTTTCATGATGACACATAATGGTAAACTATGAATAAATGACATGCCTACTGTACGTCTATACCTACATATTACAATACTCTAGCAGCAAAAAAATAACAGATAAAAAATTAACATTTTAAGTTTATAAAAATCGTAATCATGTGAGTGATAAAATAAAATATATTTCAGTGTGATCAGTGAAAACTTACATAATTTCCTGATTAGTAACATATGATTTCTCTATCAGCGCTGCAGGTGTTGTGCTTAAATAATATATGTCATGACGCAAATTTCAAATTATGTATTTCTCTTAATTTCTATAAAATATTATGCAGCAATGTTGAGGAAATTTGACTATTATGGGTAAGCTGCGATTTATGTTGGTGAAAATAGATGTGAGTCTTTTTTCTATGATCTACCTTAACAGTCAACAATAACGTTATCATAAACACAGGATTTGCTTCGACATAGATGCCTTAACCAATTAAAGTTGTTTTGATTTTACCGAACTTGAATTACGAACATCAATTACTTTTTAGCATAATATATTATGATGATTCCAACCTCGATAAACGACCACCGCAACTGACTGTTCTTCTTATTAACGCGTAAGAAGACACTTTAGGCCCAATTTAATCCGATACAGTCCGATTGGCCATCAATTAATAATCAAAATCCGACTGACAATTTAGGAAAAACATCAACACAAATACACCGCAATTAAATACAAATCACAGATGTACTTTTTTACAATGTTTTAAAATTAGGTATGTTTATAAAAAAATTATATTTTGTAAGTTTTTATTGGTTACATTTCAGCAAGCAGACATAATTCGACGAAGATAATGTTCAAAATACACTAAGCAAAGCTTGAAACCGATATTGGCTACAACACGATTGCGCAAATTTTCCTTTTTTGACCCGACTAATTACACCACGATTGCGCAAAAAATTTGGAACACGATTGCGCCCCGATCCCTTTTTACCTGTTAAAATCACAACACCATTGCGCACCAAATGATATGTGTATATACTATAAATAATAATTTATATACAATATAAAATAATGCATACAATATACATACAATACATACTTTTTATAACTTGCATATTATACATATTACATGCACTCAAATTATAAATTCACAAAATGCACTTTTTCAAATGAAAATATATAGTATTATAAATTATATTAAAGTCAATATACTCAATATTATTTATTTGTTGATATTATATTATTAATAGGTAATAAGTTTAAGTCATAGACCTAATAACTAGTTATATGGTTCAAGTGCGTGTATATGAAAATGTATTGAATTATTGTATGTTATATATAAATTATTATACATAGTATATAGTATATACACATATCATTTGGTGCGCAATGGTGTTGTGATTTTAACAGGTAAAAAGGGATCGGGGCGCAATCGTGTTCCAAATTTTTTGCGCAATCGTGGTGTTATTAACCGGGTCAAAAAAGGAAAAATTGCGCAATAGTGTTGCAGCGCCGATATTGGATACCGATTTTGAATGCCGGCTAAAGCCGTTGAAAACCGAAATCGGAAAAAAATGTTTTTAGTTTCAAGCCTTGTACTTAAGTATTTAATCCATTCCTAACTTTATTTACACAGAATTATCATATTATAAAACTGCAACTCGTATAGTTCAATTCACAAAATTATAGTAATAATTTGCTGTATTAGTTAGTATACAATTAATAAAATACAAACTACAAACTGTTTTCTATGAAAAAGTTCTGAAACTAGAACCTTTTCAAGCTAAAATTAAAAATAATATATTTGATTAGAACTTTTTCATTCTTATATTTATTAATTTTTTATTTAGCAGTTTAGTGATGTTGTGATATCATACTAAAGACCGTAGCTCCGTGTTTGTATTCATGATGCAAGTAAAACAATAATATTATCAATCATTGTATACCATAATGGTTAATACTATAGTACAATAATATTTTACTATTGGACATTGGTTGTGATTAATCAAATTAGAACCTTTTCATACAAACGTTTTGTTAATAAGATGTACATCAACTTATCTACATTTTAATGACAAAAATAATTAAATATTATTTTTTTTTATAATTTATATAATATAAATTGGTTCAGTGATTGGTTTTTATATTTTATACCAGCCAATTGCACTAAATGCATTTATTATTTTATTTTTACATACTAACAGGTGGCATCTATTATTACACCCAATGATGTAATCCTATTTTTATAATTTACCTACATTAACGTAATGATAATTAATATGTGTAAAACATGTTTTGCGCAATCCTTCTCAACAATATCTTTCCAATAATATCTATTTTTCTTTAGGCATACTATGTACCATATAGATGGAGTTATTGGTACGACAAAAAAATACTCGAGTAATAATACATATATAAAGATAATTATTATATTGGCCACTGTGAATCATTTATTTTAACAAAATTTATTTACTGACAACCAAAAGTTTAAGAAAAAAATATTTGAAACAAAAATTTAACTCAAATATGAACAGATTACATAAGAGTAAAAGCGCCAAGAGGTTGACAACGACTGCGACCGTGTGCTGATATATTTAAAATTGTCCCAAAACCACCCTTGAATAATACAATAATATAAATGCAAGCCCGTCTGTTGATTTAAAAAAATAATTATTTATTAACCCTTATTGACATAAAATAATTCTCATTATAGAACACTATTTAAAAAGTAAGTACACGAATCAAACAAAAAATCAAGCACTCAACGTAATTTTTAATTTTCAATTAGTTAAATATACATGTATGAATTCATTCGTCATTTCTTGCAGCCAAGACAGTTCCTTATTAGTCCTCTACTTCTGCTCTCAAATAATAGTTTTCAGTTTGCCTAAGGAAATCAATGAATTTATTTAATTTCAACTTTACTAATTATCATGAAAAAAAACTATACGAACTCTATGTCCACGTGCTCGCCCATAAAAGTGCTGTTGGTGCCGTCACACGAGTTCGATGTATAGTCATCCCAACTGGAACATTTATGAGCCACATAATCTTCTTTGGCCCATATGGAGTGTGCGTAGTAATGATAGGCTTTGATGTGGCTACACGAACCCGTAGCTAAGTACGAATAAAATCGAACAATTATATTATATTATATTACTCCTATTTTATGCTTTGAAACTACTACCTAAAAAGACTTGTAGAAGTTGATTTACAATATTTTAAGCGACGAACGTATTTTTGATGAAGCAATATAACCGAAATTATTCAATTTGGTATTCATTTTATTTAATTTTCAACCATAATATTATTGTGAATGGCCGTAAACACTCGAAACATTATCTTAGTAGATACCTATTGACATTGTCTTTTCGAATATATTTTAGATCTGAGCTGAGTAGATCAGCAAATAAGATAAATTTATAAGTTATAAAGCTACAATGATATTATTTTTTATGAAATCTGTACCATCTTTTAGACCAGTAAAAGCTACATATGCTTCAATATTCAACTTTTCGGTTGGTTTGTGGTAAAATTGTATGCGTATATTATTATTCACTATAAGCATAGTTAAATGTTGAAAATATTTAAATTAATATTTCGCTACTTATACCATGAATCTATTTTTAACTCATTTTCGAATGCATTACCTCTGTCTGAAGATCCGCAGCCGGGTTGCCTCTGTCCTCCGTTTGGGAAGAAATCGATATGACCGATTGATTTCGTAAACCCATTTTTGGCACTATTAGTGTGCATGATGTCTACAAAATGTGCATCAGTAATATAGAGCCTGTCGTTTGGGCCTTTGTTTTCGTACTGTGGCTTTGCAGGATCTAATCCTGAAATACATAATACAAATATTTGTGTATTAAAGTAATGTGTATTGTGATTAAATTTGAAAAAATCCTTCTTTGAAAATATACATTGCTCGGAACTATTACAGTTAGGTAGGTATTTACCGGTAATTCGAGGAATCTGATCGGGCAATTCTTTGCCTACGAATCCGACAATGTGAGCTCCCATACTGTGTCCGATCAAATGCATAGTCTCGACCCCTACTGTCATGTTATACGTTATCCTTTTCAGGATTTTAGCTATATCGTGAGCGATGTGTTTGGCTCGTGCTCTTGCAACTGAATATGATAAGTCAGTCGCATACTGTTTCCAATCCACACAAATCACATTATACTCGCCCACCTTAAAATACGCTGAAAAATATTTGATGAACTAAATTGTATTTAAAAACTTCGAATACGTACAAGTATAAGTATACTAAATATACTATATTATCGAAGATTATTCACTATAGATGAAAATAAGCAAGGCAGTAGCAGTCATACCACAAACTCCCAATTAAGATTTATAAACGAAAAATTACTTTTGTAAACAGGTGCGTCATGTGTAGAACTATTAATTATTACGAATATTATTATCTAAAAACTGAATTGACCTAATCTAATAATATATTAATTGTTATGAAATGTAATCTAATGTACTTCTAACAGTCAATATTGGTATCGATTTTATTTCAAATCTATAGGTACCTATATACATTTCAAATAATCAGAAATGATATTTTTCTAACTTTCAAGACACAATAATTATGCAAAATTACAAACTTACAATTCATGTTGCACATACAAAGACTATCTTTTTCTTTAGTGGTACCAAGCCAACCGTGCACTATAACTTTAGTTGGATTTGATGAATTGTACGTTGTAGACTCGATCAAGTGCGGTTCACTTCTGTTTAAAAGTTGACCGTCGGTATTATCTCTAAAAAGGATAGAAAAAAATGCTTTACAAATTATTTTCAATAGTTGAAATAAAATGTTAACTATTAGATTTTTAAACAATTAAACCTCGTGTAGAGCCAGTAAAACACATGTTTTGATGTATGGTAAAGTCCATCATCGTTTTCATCATGAAAGTCAATATCGTCAATGTTTTTTTGGCCATCATTAAATTCGTTGGAAATGGCCACTGAGTCTGAAAACAAAATTTTAAAACACTGATAATTATTCTACAATAATTTGTTTAAACATTTTAATGTAGTTATTTGATCAACTAAAAATATAAGACTGTGGGTAACGCATCATATTGAAAAATCATACTCAAGTTTACATTGAACTAAGTATAGGCGCCTAATAGATATAATAGTTCGTAAAACTAACGACGCACATGAATTTAATTCAAACCAAAATCCTTTCTGGTTTTATAATTTTTTCCTCGAAAGTTTGGTGGAAATAGACGATAGGATTAATTTACATTAATTAATAACAGAGGATAAATTGCAAAAATCACATAAGTACATGTCACATGTTACATACAAATAAGTACGTACAAACAAGATATTATGCGTTGCATTGTTTTTATATACTCAGTGACGAAGTTGTTCAGTTGTTCGTATACTTGTAATGTTGTTTGTTGTTCTTACACCTGTTGTACCTATACGAAATCGTGTTTTTTTTTTTTAATCAAACTATTTAGGTGATTGTTGGTTATTGGATAAATACGATTATCCCTATCAATTTGTATATTCATCGAGCCACTTGATAATTCGTTCTTGTACTATAGGTAGGAACTAACCTACTTATTATATTATATGAATCATAACAGGCCATAATATTATTATTTATTATTAAGTAGAATATTAAAAGTTATAAAATGTAATCGATAAAAATTAAATCTTTACTTCTTCTAATTTATATTATAAAAACATGCACTGTTTATAATAAGTAATAATAACAACTTACCGCTTTGCAATGGAATATCGTAAGCATGAATAAAAACAATCAACAATGTGTTTATAAAAAAATATTTCAAAAAATTAAACATTGCTGTTAACTTATTTTTCAGGATCACAAATATTAATAATATCTATAATATAATTGAATGTAACTGTCACAAAACCCACTAACGAAGAACACTGATTTCTATCGAATGATGATTTTATACTTAATTAACAGATACTTATAATCATGTCAATATAGCACTTATCCATTTAAAAGCTATTTTATTAAATTTCAATAAATTATATAATGTATAGATAACACTATTTATATAACTATTGTATTCTATTTTAATAAATTACTTATAAAAACTATTTTATTTATGCGTTTAATTTTAATTGACTTCATTTCTTAAAAATGTATTTGGTCATACTACTGTCATACGGCTCTGTATGTAAAAAAACAAAAAAAAATTAAAGCGATACATCGTGACAACAGAATGATGCAAATGAAGACTGGATATCATTTGGATCGTACAAAAATGGTGTTGAACATATCAACACGTTCTATGACCGGGTTATAAGACTATAAATTGAAGAATATTAATCATACAAATTTAAAATTACACCACCTATACCAACATATTTACCACAATATACATATACCTACTATAAATTTTAAATTCAGAGGGGGGGTTCTTGAAACACCCCCTTCAATTACCCATATTAACCCAAAAATATATGTATACTAGGTATGTGATTCAGATTTCAAAATACGTCGCAATAATATGATTATTATTATTATACAAATATGTACTATATTAATAATATTATGAAGATCGATAAGTGATGACTAGACAATGGAGAGCTCATTAACGTGTTATATTGAAGTATAAAATTAAAACAGGTTAATAACCTGAGATGTTGAAGCCTTTTAAGCTAATAAAAAAAACAAAATTAAAACACCCTCCTAAAATAAATTCTGGTTACGCTTCTTACTATATAGTATCTAACTATAATTTACAGTGGCTCAAACAAGGTATAACAAGGCCCCCTCCCCTGAAATCTTGTTTGTTTTCCTTGTTTTTGGTTGTCAGCATGTTATTTCTTATGTTTATACGTATTGAAACAGTGTAATACAAAGGCCTTAATCCGTAATTTCTTGTGCATGTATTAAATTTCCATCAATCAATGATAAAAAAAAACCCCCAAAACCAGTGGAACAGTGTTAGTATGATAATGTATTAAAGATAAAATCAACTTAAAAATTATTGTACTACAGACACTACAAGAACTGATTATCTTATCTCAAGTGACTTTCTGTTCCGTATACTGTTCATGACTAAATATATAACTTGAGAGAACCGATAAAATATATTATGTTTCCGGTTCTAAGACGAAATTTTATTATTAGATATGCGTAAGTAGTTATTATACGATCTTTTTATTGAGCATCTTAAGTCTACTAAAAATGCAGAGTTAATGTATATTAAATAATATCAAGGTTAGAATCTAGTTGATAAAGGTACTAAGCTACCGAAGAATAAAAATAATCAAAAAACATTTTACCTTTATTTTGAGTTTTCGATACTGGGTAGGTTAGGTTAATAAATTCTAGGTTGGATAAATGTATTGATTTTACACAAATGTGTGTTTTTAATAACCTTAGGTACTTTAAATGTTCAAAAAATAGCCATATGACCATTTTTCATACATGATAATATATCTATATATATATATATATAAGAACCTATCCTGACTGACTGATTCATCATCGCCTAACCTTACCGGCAAAAAGAACTTAATACTGAAGCAATAAGTTCGAACTATGGTCAGTAGTTTCGTTTTATGATGCAAAGACCGTATAAGAAAGAACTTTCCAAATTTACATTTTAAAGAGTTCCTCAAACAAGGATTTTGAGGTTCACTGTGGACATCGAAATGATTTATGTTTATAAATGGTTTGCAATTAATTACTCTGGGAGATGAGTTAAAACCATACATAAAATTGTAGCGTTTATACAGCCTCAGTTAAAAAAACTATCTTAAAAAAAATGTAAGTTTGTAACTTATATAGGTACTCAAAAACTACTCGATTGATTTCAACAAAAATATCAGATATTATTTTACTTTTTAGGGATATCAGAAAAGTTTAAAGAAAAATTTAAAAATATACCAAGTAACCAAGTCCTAAATCTAATTCACGACTCATGGTTGTCCATCTAGGTCGAATTATTTCACAAAACTAGATAATCTGATTTTCCTGTGAACTGAGGTATATACATTAAAACTGAAATACACCCAAACCGATACGCACCTGTATAGTGTATAGCATTGTATTTTATATTTGTTAATTTTTGGCAAAGTCAGGTTTTACAGCTATGCATCTACAACTATAAATCTAAAGTTTTTGAGCGATTTTTATTAAATAAATGTCCGAATCTGTTGACGAAAGCTAGATCCATTATGTCATACATAGTCTATTTTTTATTAGCTAATTTTTATTTTTCCACACACGAAAAACTATCACTATTTTATTAATTATATTGTTACCATTGGTTATAGAAAATAAAATAGTTACTGAGATTGGATATAATTTTTGACCTCTGTGTTATAATGGTCATGACAAGTCGAATTAAGTACTGTGTTGAAAATCGGAGCAGATTTCATTTAACAGAGTTTAAGATGAGTTAAGTTCAAAGACATTTATTTTGTCACAAGAAACGCCCAAAATTCAAACCCTGAGAGGGGGTAACATTGAATTTGTCACCCAGCCGAAACCACCACTATGAGTATGAAACTTGGTCTTTAGTTTTGTTTTATGGTGTTAAGACACACTGAGAAAGGATTTCCCCAAGTTGTATAAACGGAAAACATTATTTCTTGGTTGAGTTTTTCGGAAAAAAATTATCACACCAATAAACTGCACACGGTTGAAGCCGGGTTATTCAGTTGATATATATATAAATATATATTTATAATTTTCAAAATATTTCTCTTATTCAATTTTTAAGCTATTTGTAGTCATGAGAACTTGGCTATTTTTCTTATTTTTCTGTGATTTTAAAATATGTTTATTTATTCAAGTATGCTAGGCTGACTCATCGTCTTCGCTCAAAATAATTTTCGTATGCGATGATTAATCAACAAATTCAAATTTAACACATCCATTCAAATGACATATTCAACAACTATAGTACAACAGAGTGGTACCCACTTGTAAACCTTTTATAATTTATTTAATTTATAAAATAATTACCCGTAGCTACTTGAAACTTTTGAAGTATATAAATATATTAGTATATTTACATTTTACATACAATGAAATTTTCAAATGCGATGTTCTCGGCAATAATTAATACATCTTACTGCATTACACATTTCATTAATATCATAGAGTACATATACTTAGGAATACCTGTAGCCTGGCTGACCGTCTTCGCTTTTGGCTGTACGACATAAAGGTACAAAAATGACCTATCAATTGCGCCAAAATTAATATTTTATTTAAGTATTAAGTAGATAGGGAGTTATTTAAAAATGTCTATATCTTATAAAAATTATATTATATTAATATTATTATGTTGATAGTAAATTATAATATAGGTAGGTACTTGGTACATGGTGCATGGTACGTGGTACATGGTGCATGGTGCATGGTACATGGTACATGGTACGTGGTACATCAATATTTAATACATTTAATAGATTGGTTGCTTTTTTATAAAAATAAAATCTCGATGATAAATTATAATATACATGCACAATGCACATCAATATTGACGCTTACACGGATGCTTACGAAATAGGTACTAACAATATGTTATAACACAAACTGCTCACACACACTGTCTATTTGACAATCTGTCGTAATCAGATAATACGCGTTATAAGCGATATAAGCGTTTGGAGTTTTTGAGCGATACAGTTCTAAATTTAATATCTGTATTTAATTTCTGGCGCTTTTGTACGATACGACTTTTTTTTCATACCTTATTTTGGCGCTTATGTCTTCCACCGTCGCTTTTGATATCGGTAAATTCAAATTTTACACTACTAACACCTTTACAGTGACCCAGTCGACCTACCTTTATTGTACAGCAGATCCAGTACCTACATGCCCACCTATTTTCGGTAACAATATCGAGAGGGAGAAAAAACCAGCAAGCATTGCAGTAAAAAATTAATAACACAGTGTGTTGCGCGTGTTAACAGTTTTGCCATGATTAATGTTGAATAATTAATTCATATTAATAATATAATATTGGATAGTTAAAAAATATGAGTTTCTGTGTCACTCCGACCTCGACGTAACTTATTTTTAATAACCAAATGCAGCAATTATACAGGTGATCTGTGTTATGCAATAATTTTAAATGCTTGAAAAAATCATTAATTTTATAAATTCTTAGGAATACTTAAGGTTTATTATCTAAGATGTTCTTTTTCAGCTATCAGTAAGGCTTCCGGTTTTTCATATAACAAGTTTTAAGTAGGCATAGCAAAAACGTAGGTAGGTATTGCACATAATATCAATTTATTTCGTAGACTCGTATAGTAGGTATATTGAATCAATGATACAAGTCTAAATGACGATTAGCGAAAATACTTTATTACCAGTTTAAATCATGATATTATAATTTATTAATATATTTAAATTGATTCATTGTACAACTATTATATAAACTATTATATAAATGTAGTATAGATTGTAGAATTTTGTTGTTCGGTCACAGAGAATCGATCAAAAAATCAAAACTAATTTATGTGTTGAAAAATAGACTAAAATTAATCGATATGGACAGTATAAGTATAATAATACATTCACCGAGTATTAATATACAAATCAAATATATATATCACTGACACTTATAATTTTTAATAATAATACAAAAATTGTCCAATAAAGAAACAGAGTTGTACGTCGCCCTGTGTCTATTAATCTTGGACGCACGCATCTAAATAATAATCTCCGTGTTCCCTGAAACAAAACAATTTTATCGTATTTTTACTTAATATTTTAGCAACGGCGTGAAAAATATGTACGAATAGACCACGAACCCGTCTTTGTTTACCCATTCGCCCATCAGATTTACGCTGGCATTGGTACACAGATTCGCTTCAAAGTCGTCCCAACTAGGACACCTGTATGCTATATAATCGTATCTGGACCATATGGAGTGTGCGAAGTAATGATAGGATCTTACGTGACTACACGAACCATCTATATGGACACACAATAAATCACCCAAATATAATAATATACGTGTCAAATTCGCCACCACTGCTATTCTGGGGTCATGCAGGGCCGGCCTTAGGTATTTCGGGGCCCGGTGAAATATTATGCTATATGTCCAACGGACTTTGTCCATTTCTCCAGTCGAAATCCCCCTCCCCCTGATTACTAATTATCCATTTAAAATTGTAAACCGGCCCTGGCGTTATGCATTCACGTTTATACGGGTGTCAGAGTTGGCTATTCATTAAGGGACACAAGTTTCTATACGTCCAGTTAGGCGACCATACTGCAGTAGGTCTACGGAAAAAATATAAAATCAAGCCAATTTCATAAATCAAAAACGACTTTACAGGAAAAACAATTACGCCAAGTAGAATTGTCGGATTTTGATCTTTCTTGAAAGAGTATATACCCTTATTTAAGTGACATCTGACTGTGGTTTTTGAATTGGCTTAAAATAATGCCCGAAATATAAACTTCAAAACATTAGAAAATTTATATGGTATAATAATATATATTATATAAGGACGTTTGTCACAAATTCTGAAAATAGACTTTTGGTAATATTTTGAATCCAATGTGACTTGTGCATTTCAATTGTGCAAGTTTTCATCTTTCAAATAGAAAACAAATTTATTTTTTGTACTAAAAATGCATCGACTTCAAAATCCATACAAGAGCGTCAGTAGGAGGACACCCACTTTAAAATAGTTTTATTTATGAGATTTTAATGAAATGTTGAGAAAAATTAAAAATATTAAACCTAAATATTTAAATACTAAGCTTTAATTTTAATTTACTTACAATTGCCTATATATCGAGAGAGAATAAGTTAATAATATTACAATAGAAATATATCATATTATAAAATTCCACACTATTCGATTTTAAGGAATTATATAGGCAACTCATTATACGTATAACCTGGTGGACTTCTTGTGTGACAAGACTAGAGAGTATGATGATGATGATAGAACTGTGTGTATAAACTGATAAACACAAGTCAATGGTCTTGGACCATAAATCTATTACTGTTTGCAACTTTGTGCATCGTGGATAAAAGTTTAAAAAATATTAATTTAAATCCGATAGTGAGAAAAAACTGTTAAGTCCCATTTAAAAGGCTATGTTTTTTAAACATTATAAAATAAAGCTAATTTAGTACCTATTAAAAATTTGACGATCAACCTGCAGTATAGATATTTTCCAATTTCTAGAGAAGGGAAAACCTATAACTGAAAAAAATTTGAACCTATCGGCTACAATAGTGTTCATATTAAATTATAGTATTTTTTTTTTTAGTTATTGACTAATATTCTAACTAATCACGTTTGTTTGAACTATCACTGCAATTGGGTTGCTTTGATCCTCCATTTGGGTAGAAATCCATATGACCGATAGATTTGTCAAGTCCATTTTGACCAGCGTTAGTATGCATTACATCAACAAATTTCGCGTCAGTCATATCTAGCCTGTCATCTGGTCCACTTTTCTCGTACATCGGTTTTGCTGGATCTAGACCTGAAATCAATTGACAGTAAAAAAATTAATTTCATCGGTGGGTTAGCCAGAGGAGTGCTGGAGGTTATGTAGGCTACCCCCAGAAACCTTAAGGAAATAAAAAAAATATATCTATGATCTATGAAAGTCACTGCAAATACAAATTTGTATAGCCGTACAGGAACTCAAACCTGAAATAAAACCTCAAAAGATTGTAATTAGTAATTAATTAATAAGACAATTAAAAATACGAGTACATAAACAAGTACTGAATGATAAAAAATGTGTTAAAAAATACGAAGTATGCTTAAAATATGTCCATGGGCAACGGTTTAAAAACACCTGAATAGTTAGAATAATTAATAAATAATTGTCAGTTTGTAGTATTTGTGAAATGTTCATTTGGTGATGCGTAATTGCCCATGTGCCAATAATAAGAAACTGAGAACTTAGGTAATGGTGAATTATGATTTATGACTATAATAATATAGTATAATATCGTATTATCGTTAACTTTTAGGAAACGCCGTTAACCCGATCTGAAACAAGGGTTTCACAGAATTATGTAATCGTCAGAAACTCCTGGCATCGTGATTTGGGGTGGACGAGAAAAAAGTGATTATAAAATATTCATTGATCTATCGAACAGGTGAAATTAATTTTTAAAAGCATAAATATTTTCAGAGTGCATCATGTTTGCACGTTTTCAGGTTACCTGAGATCCGATAAAGGCCGGGCAAATTTTTTCCGACATGTCCGGCAATGTGTGCTCCCATACTGTGTCCTATCACGTGAATAGTTTCATAGCAGCCTTCCGTCATATTGTACGTAATCTTCAACAACATCTTAACAATATCCAGAGCAATGTATTTGCTTCTCGCCTTCGCGACCGCGTATGATATATCAGTCGAATATTGTTTCCAATCCACGCAGATCACATTGTATTCGCCCACTTCTAAATACGCTGTAAAATATTTTCTAAGAGTATAATAACTAATAATAATAGTATTGTATAGTATGGGGCTAGCATTTCAAGCACTAAAAAAACATTTTAAGAAATGTGCATGGTGCATCTGTAAACGGCTACAAATGTTTTATGCCTACCTACATTTTTATTAAATCACGCTTAAACCTAACCATAAACAATAGGCATAAAAATAGTAAACTTGAAATTGTTGATGTCAATTTTAAAATGTGTACTTTGAAAGATATATCTAACAAATCATAACAATAAATGCAAAATCCTATACAATTCCAGACCTAATAATAAAAGGTTGATTAGGTATAGACGATTAAATGTTAGAAAAAGGTCGAAAATGTTATTTTTCTAATCACTCTTATTGAATAAGACTATTTACAAACTTACATTTTACATTGTAAGAACAAATGCCCGATTTTTCTTGAGTAGTGCCAAGCCAACCATGCACTAATACTTTAATTGGATTGCTTGGATCGTACGTCGTTGACTCGATCATGTGTGGCTCACTTCTGTTTAAAAGTTGACCATCGCTATTATTTCTAAAATTTGAAGAAAAAAACTTTCAATCGATTGTATTTAAAAATCAAATTAAGATGTTAATTAATATGGGTACTATTTAAAAATAATTATACCTCGTGTAAAGCCAGTAGAATACATGTTTCGATGTTTCGTAATGTGCGAAGTTCTCGTAACCAAAGTCAAAGTCGTACAAATTATCTTCTATGTAATTATCAAATTCATCATTTAAAACGTCAACTGGGTCTAAAAAAAATGACAAGATTAATATATATTCTAAAAATGTGTTTAGCACAAAATATAATATTTTAATGTTCAATCATATATATAATATTATTGAAGTGCGTGAAACTTAATCAAACCCGTTTTTGATTTTATCTTTTCTTCCACGAAAATATAATTAATTTTGCTTCAAATATAGGTTCAGATTATAATTTAAGAAATTGAAAAAATACAGAATAAAAATATTCTATTTATGAAAATATTTCGATAGGGAAATATCAAGGATATTTTAACAATATTCTCCATCACTCGTTTATATACGTATTTAATTTATTTTAATAAGTGAGTATAAACCTCATATATCGATAATATAATTTGCCTAGTTTTATTGCCGAGATAACAAGTGGAAGCGTCATCAAAATCTAAAAGCCAAATTTAAATTATCCTATTCAAATACTGTGCTAATATACTTCTTCTTATCTAATGACTCACACACGCTCACAAAATGTATTCTTGTTTGGGGACAAATGCCTCTAAATTAGTTGGCAAACATGTATTAACTATATTGTTCATTATTTTTATTTTAACATGCAATCCTAAGTAAGTACTTATATGTATAATTATAATTACTTTATATTTTTTCTTCACCGTTATTTTTCTGTAATCAATTCAGATTAAAGAATAAATATGGTAATTACTAATTACCTACATTGATATTGCCTATGTTTATGGGAATATATGGTTTATTTTAAATCATAATATTTTATAAAAATATTCTTGTTATCTAACTTAATTGCAATTATTTGCAATTATACAAATCAATTAAAAATTTTAATTCAATTTTGCTTTTCATTAGAAGGTGTTAATAATTTTCGATCGATAGGTCATTTTAATGTGTAAGTTGTTTTTTAAATTAATTATACATTCGATTGATCAGCGTGTCGAGATAATTTTTTCATATGGTTCGATTAATAAATGTGTTGCTGGAACTCATACCTACACAGTTTAATGCATCACATCCAAATAAAAATGTAATGTATTTTTGCAATATATTATATAACAACTTACCGCTTGCCAATGTAATATCATAAGTAAAAACAAAAACGGTTAACGTGCTAAACAGTATTTTCATTGTAATTGGATAATTTAACAATTTTACTGACATTTGACAGAGTCGTTTTCGCGGTAAATTAAAATTATATTGTAGTCGACAATAATCGAATCGCAACAACTGTCATAAATACAACTAAATATACGACACGAATTTCAATTGAAAGATCCTTTTAACACGCACTTGTGTTTATGTCAATAATAAAATTAATTTTTATAAAATACCCATATCTTTACATACATGCACCTAAATATACATAATGTATTTTAATTGGATTCTTGCACAATAGATAATATTTAGATAACATTATTTGATCAAACAAGGAAATTTATAATGATTACATTTTATTAAATAGTTGTAAATAGTAATTACCTACCTACTAATTGCGTACAATTTAGAAAATAATTAATTTCAAATTCTTTTCTTCATACTCATATTTTATTATTTACACTTTAAGATAAGCATTGAGCATTAATTTTACTCTACAACGATTCTGGAAAAATAAAAAAGCTAAATTGTATTCTTTATAATAATACAGTCACAGTGGTGTTAACTATTATCAATTTGTGTGTATGCATCGTAATTAATGTTGTGTTTATGGTTTTGGTACGAATATTTATTATCATAGAAGGTTTCCAAGAGAAAATTTGAATTCACCCGTCAGCGATGATACATAGCCGAATCAGGTATAAACTAGTGGACCAACATTTTGCACAGTACCTCTGCGCCACTCCAGTCCACTAAACTTAAAATATGTACCTACTTATTAGTTATAACTAATACCCTAGTCAATTTATCGCCCACTCAAACGAAATTTTATTTTTTAAAAGGTATGAAATTCTAGGAAAAGTATTCTTCATAAGAAGTTTGAAATATAATAATTATTAAAACATTTTAATTAATGCTTTCATTAAAAAAAGTAAATATTTAAAAAAATGATACCCATAAGAAACTGTAAAAATGTATATCTTTTTAATTACTTTAAGTTTTATAAAAAATATTTCCAAAAATCTTTAATAATTTTCGAGAAACAGAATAATAATCACCTATTACAAAGAATCGTCAAAAAGATATAATAATATAAATATATTTATATACATATATACAATATATACAATATATTTGAATATACACAAGTAGTATGTAAATAAACAAGAATATTTAACTATAACAAGTAACTACTTATCCTTAATAACATCCATCGTGCAGATGCATAAAATATTAAAATTTAAAGACAGTTAAAACTTTTAACAATGGCTTTATTTATTAATTCATCTATCGATGATCATCATTGGTATCGTCTGATTCTATTGACTGATCGTGACTATCCTATATACACGGGGTATATTTTATATTCTTATGTCATTAAAGGCGTGAATTTTTAATTGTTATGGATCAATAATAGTTATGGAATTCCAAAAAAATTAAATAATACTAAATAGACGTGATGCTTTGTTTTTTAAATGGCAATTATTTAGTATCACAATTTCAAAATGTTTAAGCACGCTGTTTTACAGATAGAAAAATAAACTTTATTTTTTTAAATAGTAACAACAACGTTGTTTGAGTTAATGGCTAAGTTAAGGTTGATTACTAATAGTATTAATTGAAAAAATTGTAAAAATTCATATTATTGTTTAAATATTTTTTTTTTTAAATGCGATTTCATACATTTTTACACACTTATTAAATAAATAATATAATGAGAAAGGTAACCTGCGCGCACATACACACACACACACACACACACACACATAAAATGTATTCGTTTTGGAATGAATACCTACAAACATACTTCATTGATTTTATTTTAATACAAGCAAGAATAAAACAAGTACTATTAGGTAATGTATAATTTGTTAAGCATCATTACATAAATCTTAGTATATTTTAAACTAAGTATTTATTCTAGTTATTGATAGTATACATAAATGCGTTATGCACTATCATTGTTTAAAGGGCTAAGCCCGTCAAATCTTAATAAATAAATAAATAAATAAATAAGATAAATAACCATAATTAATTGATTACCGCACAGTAACTTCGTTCAAAAAAAATTTAAATTGTGATGAAATTCACTACTTAAAAATAAAGAAACTTAAGAAACGCCTCTTCTATAATTTTTTTTTATAAATTTCATACTATCGAATCATTATTATTTAAAAACTATGGATAAAAGTACTACATAAGATAGGTACATTCTTTAGCTACATAACAAACAATATATAGCATCTATAAGCAAAATTTGGAAAACTTGAAATTTCACAACCCCGATTCGCGATAACTTTCTAATGGATTTTTGATGTCCCTTATAAGAGCTCTTTCGTAAATATCAGTGTTCATAAGAAATATTTTACCTATTGTAAGAGTAAAAAAATATGTTGCATATCATATATTATATATTTACATATAACTATAAAATACATCTTTTGATTAATTAAAACTGAAAGATACACATTTATAGGTAGGTATATTATACGATAGCGACTATTGTTTTACTAAGAAATTAATAATTTGAAGAACTGAAATAAGTTAGATATTAACAAAGTATATGAATACCTAAGTATACAATATAAAAACCATAACTACAATTTTTCTTAATAATTTCTAAGAAAGTTGTTGTTAAAATCAATGAATATACAGGAATAGATATTAAAGCTTTAAATTTAAAGATTTTCCTAAGAACGATGAACTTACCTAAACTTCAAACGTCTGAAATTCGCCTTTCGTGGAACGAATGACAACGTCGATAATATGTCAATTTATGTGATAACACCGCACCACACACAAGTCATACATTATGTCTCGTTTCGAGAAGTTTAAAATTAAAATTGTGTATTGCAATCTTTCTTAATATTTTATCTTGCTCCGTCGAGTACCAGACACCAGTATAACTCATCATGTTTTATGTGTATAGTCGTATTGTTCGCAGCTAACACGTAATGTACTCATGTGTGCAATATGCCAATATACGTTACATAATTCGCCAGCTACTTATTAAATATGAATGTAATTTGATTTTTTAGTTCGATGCAAATTGGTATTTTAAGTTTCCAAGATATTTTATCGTAATTCTAAGTTCCAAAATCGCAACTATAATATGGAAAATTGAAAACTGCGATGTGACTAAAAGATATGTAATATGACGTTTACCCTTGTACAGGAATGATATTTTAGAAAGAAAAATATATTTTTAGATATTAATTGATGAGCATAAATTGTTCATTGAGCCACCGAATCAATTGGTGAAACGAAAAAACGATACTCGTCCAGAACTCACGGCTTATCCAGAAATGGATTTGGTTATATTTATTACGATAATTATTGATGTTATTAATGCTTAGTGCTGGCTCGTCAGTTATATTAAATCTATGATGTATACCTATTTACCATTGTTCCGCAGCTGTTTGTATCAACTCTTTTATTTGTATGGGCTAATGATGATCTCTGTAAAGTGGAGTCTGATGCAAGCATGTTCCGATTCTACTCTAAGTATAAAGTTTCTACTCGTTGAGCTTTTTGTACTGCAACATTACGAGATGCTTTTTTTGCTTTGAAAAAAAAAAAAAGAACACGTAACTATAGTAAGAGACCAATAGATAAACATTTAACGGTGCTCCGATCCAATTCTAATAATAGAACTACGAATTATATACCAAAATCCTGTAACTTGCTCGAATCATTAGATTTCCAAAATGCATTAAATTTACTATAAAGTACTCGATTATAGGTAGATAGAGATAGGCTATAGGTAGGAATGATCAAATATTGTATTCCTCTTGATTGTATATAATATTATGATTTCAAACAAAAAAATGTATTCAAATTACCCAATTCTGTATACCTTTTGACTTACTAAAGGTGCGTTTCGAATACCCCTTGATAGTTCCATATAGTGTAGGTACCTATAATACCCATACAATTTAAATTTAGAACACTCAATTGAATCTGTTAACATTTTTCCTGTGTTATGTTTGGGGAAAATGTTTATTTCTTTAATCGACCTGTTAAATTGGACACCTATTAAATTGTGTTAGATCATTTCCTATGTAAATAATAAAAATACTTGACACTTACTTTATTATTATAAACTGAATTAAGCCTATTTTTAGGAACTGTGAAACGAATTTACAACTGCTCATTTAATATTGATGGTAATATGTTAAACTTGCACTATTTAGGAACACTTACTAGGCTTTTTGGAAGATTACAACTAATTAATTGTTGGCGAGAACCAGGATATTCGTATGGATATGACTAAATAATGAGTTATGAGTATACGTGACCTGAGCTCCAAAAGCCAAGAACGAAGAAATTAATTTTTAATTGTGCTTGAAAGAAAGTTTTTTTTGTCGTTAACAAAATAGAGTTTCATCTTAAATTTAAAAAAAAATATAGATTATTAATTATGAACTTGCATAACATACATTATGTGTACAATAAACGTACCTACATCGGTTATCTGCACATATACTTGTATGTAAGCTATATATTACCCACCTCCATAATATAATAATCCCATATAAAAATACATTTGCTTGCTAAAATTGACCTGATAGTCGAGAACTGAGCGGTGGAAACGAAGTGAATTTTGTTGAATTTTTATTTTAATTCCTATGACATAACGCAAAAATAAAATTGAGAATTTAATAAATACGGCAGACAATAGGACTTAGCTTCTAGTTGGGAATACACAATATAATACACATGGGTACCTATTGCAGAATAAATAAACCGCAGACGGGCTGATGCAGTTGTCCGTCTATAGGGTAAATCGCTATATAATAATGATGACCCATTGGACCGGTGTCAATTTTTTTTCATTATTATTCAGTGTGCATTGTGACTGACTACTGCTAGCTGCGATGGCAGTTCGTTATAAAATGCAATTACTTTCGAAGAAAAAAAATCCTAATCTTTGTATACAGATAGGTACAATACAAATATTTTATTATTGTAAATATGCCATTATTATATAGGTGATGTATAGGCATCGCCGTTTGAATCAACATCGGACGAAACATTGGTAACCGATCGGCCAATCCATCATTTTCATCCGTACGGAAATCTTTTATATTACGACTGCGACGAGATTAATGATGGTGTCACGAAATCAAAGTTTATAAAAAATATATTTAAATATTGACTTTTTAAATAAATAATAATGAAAACTGGGAAACTCGCTCTGATGTAAATTAGGTTTCGAGTGTATAGCTGCCCTGCCATTAAGTAGGTCACTGTAATTGATGTGCCTTCATAATATATTGTAGTATTGTACCATATTTGGTAAACATTTCAAGTCGCACGATATTATTATTCCCTTCTGAATTACATTTAAGAAACAAAATCAATTAAACAAATCGACTCTGGAGGTGTTGCGTAAATATTCCCATTTTCAGGTGTTTTTATTGTTAGTTTTTTTCTCAGTTATTCAGAAAAATATTAATAATTTCCTGCTTATGACCATCAATGTGAAAATTGGAGCAAATTGTTTGCTTCAAAACATGATGACAAATGACAATAAACATAGTTTAAGTATATTTTTTTTAAATATTTTATCAACCGTTTGTTGAGCTTATGCACTTCTTGAATGTTGAAACGTTTATAATTAATACAATTATTATTATTTATTTATATATATAATATATATATCATTTATTCGTTTAGATTACATTAATAATATTATAATACTTTAATGCTAAATGAATTTGTATACAATCATTTTATAAGATCATATAAAATCAAAACTACTGATCACAGATATTAATTAAAACGTAAACAATATGTTTGTAAAACACAAACTTTAACATTGTATAGTTAAAGTGTTACAGTGATTATGTATAATATATACTATAGTTAGTATACAAACAAATCAATTTTTTTTTTTTTAATGTTGAACAATACTTCTACGATATATCGATACGAACAGCGCCACGGCTTACACAACCGACAAATAATATTTGCCCGAATAACTGAAAAAAATTTTAAAAATATATGTTGAATCCACAGTACTTTGCTTTTAATCGTATTAATAAAAAGTATTTTAGTATTTAACGATAGAACAAAAATAGTTTTAAAACCACAATCCAACCAGTGATACATAATAAAACATAAAAATAATACAATCGTAGCTATTATTACTAAAAAACAAATACCTCGAATTTGCGAATTCGCCCATGTACGTGTAATTCTCGGGATCTTCGCATTTGGACTGCTCGTAATCTTTCCAACTGTCGCATTTGATCGATTTGAATTCGTCTTTGGACCGAATGGACCGAGCATACAACTCATAGGCTCTATAATGACTACACACCTCGCCGTACACTAAAAAATATATCAAACTCGTGATAATATACACAGTTGAGCTTTATAGGTTTTTTATTAGTAGACAATAGATGTATAAATTCGTTTTTGTAGGTCTCTGATCGCAGTTTCCGTGTTATTACTATGTGTATCGATGAACCACCTGCCATTACGTAATATATATTTATTGTATTTTAAGATGCAATACCTGTTTCGTCAATGTTACAAAAGCACGCATCATAACATGCATTGATTTTGACTTGACATGGCATGCAAAATGTCAAAAACTCACTAAAGATGATATTGATTACTTAAAAGAAGCTAATAACGTATATGACGATGTAGCAAATGCCCCAGCCCCAAAAGATTCTTTCTCAGACTTTAAAATCCAACCAACCCAGAAAATGTTGATCTATTTGATATCAAAGAAATTCTACAACTCAAGGATAGCTTTCAACATGTCAAGGACGATACAGTCAAAAATGTTGATAATCTGAATACTAAATTTAACACTATTGATAATTATTCTATAGTTATTCATTGTCAGCTATAATATTTTTCAAGCATTTTTTTTCAAATCTGTATCTTATTCTTACGCATCTATAGATGTGTAAAACAATAGATTTTGTTCTTTTCCCTTAACCACCATATTTTTTTATATTATTTCAGCTACATTTTTTAACAACTGTGGTCATACAAAAAATCAACATTTTCAGCATATTTTTGAAGATACCTATAGTTGTTTTACACAAATCCATAAAAGGTCGTCTTAAAAGTTTATATTATTACTATTGGATTATCTATATATACTAGATGTTTCCTTCACACTTTTCCGGGTATAGGGCATTCAATGTTTTTCAATTCTCTGGTCTAATTTTACATGTTTTTATTTTGTTCCGTTGCAAATAATTTTGTTCATACAAAATATCATGATTTTCATCATCTTTTTTAAACGGTAAAATTTAATATGATACCGGCAACAAATATTTTCAGAATGAATGTATATACCTAATACTATGGGTATGGTACTATATGAGGTGTATAATAAACCTACGCATATTCAAATTATACAATTATTATTGATCAGTGAACACACGTAGGTATTTTATATTCACCAAAAAAATAATATCACATAGGTTTCGCCCTTATTATTTACCGTTGCCAAATAATCGAGTTGACAGTATAGGTACGATATATAGTCGTATTGATCATACCTATTAATAGATATCATTATCATAATAATCATTATTATTATTGTTATTGTATGCTTATCTACCGTAATCGTATCCACAGCCCGGTTGTTTCGTGTTGCCACCATTCGGATAGAAATCGATAATTCCTATCGGCTTGTGCTGCCCCATCACCAGACGTGTCGTATGCACTACGTCCACGAATTGCGCATCTGTTCTGTCGAGTCTCTCGGCTGGTCGTTTGATGGAGAACATCGGTTTAGCAGGATCCAAGCCTGGAACGTGTATAGGTACGTCGTAAAAAAATCATTATAATATTAAATCTGTCATTTACTTATTATTCGTTTTTTTTTTTTTACACATTTTCTTATTATTCTTGTTCTAAATTGCTGTGTCTATATTACGCATTAATTATCGCATATTTTTTTCGAAATGTCGTCGGGTAAGTGGTTCTAGGTTAGAGTCAATGGTTACACCTATTTGTAATATGTAATATAAGTACAATTTCGGAATAAAACACTATCAGTGACGGGTTTGAAAACTCAAGGATGAAAAAATTGAATTTAATGACTGCAGTATATTATTACATTAAATAATACCAGTACAAGTGTGTAAACGTAAACACAATTGTAAACACAGAACGTGATTTATCCATCAGTAAATTAGATTTACTAATAATTATATACTGTGTGTTCTGTGTATGTGTGTATTTATTCCTTTCCAATTTAAAATCTAGAAGCATATTCGAGGAACCCATCCAAGTGGTCTATTGTCTACATACATCTATATTGTATGTATACAATATAACAATGACAAATTATATTTTCTGTTCGAAAAATGTACGGCTTGTTCAAGATGAAAATTATAGTATGAACATTTCCATTCGAAAAAAAAATAGAAACATCAAAACATTCAGTTCTGTATGGAATTTAACCCGATCTCTTACAAAATCCACACTATACTTTTATTTTTTATTATGATTGTTTTTTTTTTCTATTAGTCATTGTTATTGAGTTAAACAGTTTAATCTTTTGTCGAGTATCCACTCGATGTATTGAATCTAGTCATCAACAATATTTTTAAGAACTGTATCTATTATACCTGCACACGTTCGGCGCAAAATCTGCTTCAAATAATCGGGCACGGGCTTATATTTTGTAGTCAAACACGTTCGAATGGTCTTATTAGATTAAAAAATAATCATTTCTCGATTTCTAATGTGTTAAAAAAGTATGTATGTATAGATGTATTTGTACGATAAAGCATAAAGTAAACGTTATAAGCAAAACGATCGTTTTCAAAAATTTACAAACAATCAAATTCTTTAAAAAACAAAGATACGATAAATGTTAAAAGCTTCGTAACCAGTGCACTACATTTAAGTAAGTATTATATTATACACCTGTCTATTATCATATTGTGTTACATATACCTAGCTTATGTCTTTACCTACTTATACATATATTATATTATATTATCAAAGCCGTAGTCAAGGGGGGTGAACTCCACTCCCCCGAAATTTTTTTTGAAATAAGATTTAATTATTTTTCAAATAAAGATTAATTTAATTTAAATTATATTTTTATAGTTTCATATTTTATTATATAATATAAAATATTTATACTCTAAACCCCCCCCCCCTCCTCTAAATTTTTCTGGCCACGGCCTTGTATATTATTATGTTTTAATTTGAAATTATTTATTATAAATCAATGTACTAAATATTATAGCCATATATATTACACTGTCTGTTTAAAATTTTAATTTTAATTTCATTCCCTAAAATAAAAATCATTATTATTAGGTACCTATATTATTAGCATCATTATTCTATCGGAAAACGTTAACATATGTAACTCAAAATAAATTAGTAGCAATCGATATCGCATTTACATATTATTATATTATATTACCAGTGATCCTGTGCACGTTTCCCTCAAGACGTTTACCGGCATAACCAGCGATGTGGGCTCCCATGCTAAAACCAATTATGTGTACATCGTCGTTGGTCTGAGGCGTGTTTTCCGTCATCGTCATTATCATTTCAGCTACATAGTTTCCGATGTCCTTGCACCGCAGCCGGGCCGTAAAGTAAGCAAAATCCAACGCAACCACGCTCCAGTCCACGCACACCACATTGTAATCGTACAACGCGAAATATTCTGAAAAAAATGTAATGCTTCAACATTGTTTGAAAGAAAATTCCAACAAAACCACAACTTGTACGCTGCCAGGTCTTAGAGTTAAATTTCTATCTAGGACCTATCGCGCTTATAAAATAAATTATTATACTTTGCCCCACCCCCTCCGCTTTATCAGCCTTCAAACATATAGAACATAACTTCATAATGTCAGCTCATTCACGACATCCACTTATTAGGTATCCTTATATGATTGGTCTGAACGGTATACTAAACTTAACTCACTTATTTCCTGCCAATCAATACAACAAAATAAATGCAATTATATAATTTATTTTGCATGATGTGAGTAATTATGGTAATGATTAGATTTAAAAGTTGAAGCCCAAATACATGAAATTCAATAAAATAAAATACTACATACTCGTATTATTATGATGCCCAAATGTTTGCGAATCCGAGAGGGAGGTCGATCTATATTTACAATTCACCCCCTCGGTTTTGCTTTGTGCAAATAGGTAGGTATATTTATATTATTTTTTCCTTCTCAATCTGTTTCATAAACATTTATATCGAACAATAAATGAATGCGTGTATTGGCATAAGGGAACGATTCACTGAATAAGGAATCTTCCCATTGAAGAAACTTCATAGTGCGGCGAGTATAATAAATTGTATATTTTATCTATTTTAATTATTATGTATAATTTTTTTTTTACTATAGTTATTCGAATGTCACTGATATATAGAACATAGTTTTATCAGTGATTTATGTGCAACAACATAACCTGCCGTGAGTAATCTACACTCATTGGGTTTGACTTTTGAGTACAATAAGTAGGTACCTATAGTGTTCCGACAAAATCCCATTTAAGTCCCTGGAAAGATAGGTCATATTTTTTAATTAATTTATCGGGACAAGTAAAATTGTTTGAGTTTTATAATCGTTTATTAAAATATTATTGTACGTTTTATCACATTACACTACATGTATAGGTACTTTATGTAGCTCTTGACGGTTTTTATAATATTATGGTGTCGACACACATCATCTCCACTGAACGAGTAACCTTGGATGTTTGGAGCACTCGACCAGATGGCCTGACAACTTATTCTTAGTAATGATTGAACAAATCAACAAAACTCGCTGAATGTGTCAATTAATCAAGTCTTCGATTGATTGATTGCGAAATAATCTAGTTTTGTCTCGACAAACCGTGACGCTCATCGAATTTTCCAGGCAGACAGTAAGTAAGAACCAAAAACCATTCGTCGTAATGAATCAGAACCGTACACAATGTACACATAAATACCTACTCAAAATATTGATTAAGGGGCCCGCACGTGACCTCTCAAAAACATAAATTACAGGAAAAATTCTCACGCCTTATAGAGTGATCTGATTTTGATCATTTCTGTTTGGTTTTTTTTTTTTAGCAAAAGAAACGCTACTCACATGGTGCATTGGACTTAGATTTAGATTTTGAAAATTCTATTTTTAAACCACATAATAATACGATTTTGAATATGATCAGTCTTCACAAACTTTTATTTCTTATTTTAAGCTACGAAATTAAAAATTCAAGTCCAATGCTCCCACTCACACCAATCATCATTTGCGACTAACACAAATGCCATGGGCGTCAAAATTGTCTAATTATTGCCCCTTATTAAAAACACACAAGCACACAAACAGCCAGTTATTTCGACCAAAATGTTCCAATCTTTTGTCAATCATACCGATGGGCGATGGCCCCAGTCCATATGGTTATGATTTTGTAAAGTGATTTGATTTAGTCTTATGTCTACTTAAATTCAGGTTCACAAGAGTTTTCAAAAATTTTCTTTGATTGATAAAAATTGTATGACATTTTAAATGTTGTTTATTCGAAACTCAAATGAAATATTACCTAAAACACAGGCTAATCAATCTCAAGCAGACATATACTCAAATCATATTCATAAGTCTCATCAAGATATTGTTTCACCGCCGGTATGATTAACAAAGAATACATGCAAATGAGCATAAATTGTTTATCGATCACGGACAGAACGTCGAGGTGGTGACTTGTACGTGCGAAAGGCACAGTAAACATACACTAATAATCACATTTACATAACCCGCAGGCGTGCAATTTTAAATTGTACATTTTGGATCTCCTTAATAACTGTCCATTTGCAATCTCAATAACCCAATTTTAGCGCTTGGCACTCAAACCGACTGCACCGACAAGTAACAACAATAATAAATATAAATTATATTTAGCCAATAGGTACTCACCGGTCTTCAAAGTCAAACAGACGCTCTGGTCGTCTTCGCTGTCGCCCAACCAACCGTGAATCACGATTTTGGTCGGTTTTCCGCCATCAAAGCCCGACGATTTCAAAGATTGCAGGTCGTCTGGCACCAGCCTGCGACTGTTGTTGGGGCGCACTCTGCGAACAAAATTCAAAGATTGTCAAGTTCACGACCGCTGCGCAAAGATGGCGCTGGTCGTTCCGAGAAACAAAAAATAATAAGACTATTACGTCCATCGTCGCGTGTGACAGTAGAAAACAAACTTCCCGTGTTCGCGTTCTACCAATTTTAAGTACCTGGTGCACTAATACTGTCAAAGGGAATGGACAACGAGGAGAAACAAGTTAGTGCCCAAAATATTAATTTATTTTTTCATTCAATAGCGCCTCTGTGCCGTATAACATGTAAATAGTAAATTTAACGTCATATATTATATATAATATTTTTTATTTTCACCGATTTCGGATATTGATGGATTTGATGAACCATAACCAGAGAAAATCAACTCGGCTCGAATAGAACGGATGATAAATTATTCGTCACATCGTTTCGGGAAGTTTTTACTATCCAAGTATACTCTGAAAAGGATTGATGTGCTTGCCGGGTTGCCAGGCGCATTGCAACGTGATGCGTATAATGTTTTTTAATAGTGAGAGTAAATTTTTTTCACAGAGTTGATCTCCTCGAAACACGTTTGTCGCATATTCCGTTCTGAATATCTGAATTCTCGTGACGATGATGACGACGCAGTGAAGATCGAGAATAAATAGTGTGGTCACTGATACTTTAAATTAAAATAGGAATGGTGGCGATCCGCGACTGACCCGAAATAACACTCTATAAGCTTTCCCCCCATATGGGCCATCATAATATACCTATATTATGATCACACGATTGCAGGCTAATGAGTGTTCAACCGTATATTAAAATCAGTATTGGCGACAACTAGTGAGCTCGTGACGTGTAAGCTCCCGCCGTGAAAATGATAAAAATAATGTATGCATATAAGAGGAGAGGTTCAAAAGTTCCATCTAGACGTTAATTAGAAATTAGAAATTGAACGCAGATATAGGTTACCCTCGCAGAACATAAATCCTTATTATTAAGAGAGAAAATATAAATGTGTATGATATAAAAAAATACATAAATGCATTTATTTTTTTGTTTTCGTCGTTTGAAGATTTCTCGAACATCGCGAATCACGCGTTCAACATAATAATAAACCACTGGTTGTGTGAGACAATAACTTTTTTTACGAATGTCAGGTACCTATTTTTTTTTAGAATTATGACATTACTTAAATTGCAATCTTTTACAAAATTACAAAGTTAATAATTTTTTTTTTTTAACTCTTCGAAGTATGCATATTATAATAAGTATTTATGTATGATACAATAATACATTAATACATTAATACATGCGATAATTATGTAATAATCATACATTTAATATTTAGGTAAAAGGTAATAACCTGATAAGTAAAGTAACTACAATTGTAGATAGATCTACAACCTTGTACCCATAATCATAAACAATGAAAGACGAGAAGAATAAGAATATTTATCCTAAAAAAAAAATGAAAACTGTAATATTATAAATGAAAACCATTATCATTTATGGAGTTTATCAAAAATGAATGGTGATTAAATAATGTTTGTTATCAATGTTTTAAATATATTTTATTAATTCCGTTGAACGGTTATAACTTATAACTTATAACTTATGGGCAATTCCTGTGGTGGCAATTTAGTCCTTACAACCTTGCATGTTTCTTGTTATATTTTTATAATTATTATTTGGGACTAATTTATAAGACATCTTTGACAAAAAAAACTACCTATGTTTATTGATCCGTCTAATACCAGTATTACCTCAACACAAATCCTCAACAAAAGTCAACCCCACCTATGCACGCTTATGTTTAAAACTTTTTAATAGCGAGTATAATAAGCTATATGGAATATTAATTATTCAGTTTTATTAAAACTATTGCGCATATTAATTAGGTATAGGAATGAATATTTTTTATTTTGGTATTATGAAGTAACTCCACTGTTTCTTTTCAAGCCTCTGCTACGAACTGTGTTTTTGATCAATTAAATCTGAAAAACAGCTGTCGTCGGAGCAAAACAACGGTTTCATTTCATCCCTAACCCTTACTTTGTATACAACCAAAACGTCACAGATTCGTTAACGCTGACGAGAGAAGAGTCCATTGTAGATTCGTAGTTTTCTGAAATTTTGCCGCGAAATAAATCGTCGAATGAGTTCACTTGAGTCGATGACACTGCAAGAATAAAATAAATATTTCAATACAACAGTCTATACAATATATTATAACAATTATAGTACCTCCGTGGCCGTACGCGCGTATACATACAACGTCACATCTTTAGGTAATAATTAATAATATACAGCGGTCGCCGATATTATTGGACTCACGGCAAAAGGCTACTGACAATTGACTCAATCACCTATTGGACTCAAAACGGCTGGTCCCGATTTGCACGTGAACTAACGCACAGCACACACCAGTTAATGGGGTCATTTTGAATAGAAGAAGGGAAAATCCAATCAACTTTTTATATATTTTTACCAATAATTTATTATTTACATAGCTTATTACAATGGTTTACTACTTTATTTTTGAATGAACAAAATTGTTTCTATTAAATATCAATACATTATTTATACTGTTATACATTTAAATGCTGAAATCTCAATAAACATTTTTTAAGTAAATAAGTATATATTTTTAATTTTGTTGGGGCCTTCTGCCTCATTGACTCGTTCGGTTAATGGTGAGCCCAATGGTCTGGTCCTAACGTGAGTCTAATAAGCGGCGACCACTGTATATACATTATTGTTAAATCATCGTTTAATATACTATCGAGAAAATGTTCAGTATAAACATATAGTTGCATCGACATTATAAAAACGAACATCTCCTGTACACAATATATATTATGTATCTCGTATGGTAAACGACACTTGTTGAGTATTGTCAATGTCGCGTTCGATGAATAGTTTGTGCGAATGTGCATAATATAATATAAGATATTATGATATATACTGACAATGCGCTTACCTACATCCGTTACGGCGATGACGATTGCCAATTTGAATTATATGAATTCAAATCATACACCGATACGCACACGGATGCGGTATTTTTAAACAGAAAATATTTACAATAATATACAGTGAGTATAATATGTTTTGTTGCAATGAATACTGTACTTGGCATGATGGTCGCTTAAATGCATTATATACTGCTACGAATGGAACACGAGATTTGATTTTGAATCGTTTTTCTATAATTACATAGTATGAAAAGTATCACCTCGTGACAAATCTCTTTTGAGGCAGCTGATGCATTTAAATGTTTAACTCGTACACAATGGTGTCAATATCAACGGTGCTAACCTATATTGTTGGCTTACCTTTTTATACATACACCGGAGAAACGTTACGATTTTATCTTTACGATTGCTTGGTGGTCAAAACAACGATTTAGTGAAGAAGCGACATAATCATGATGAACGCTTTTCTCCCCTGTCAATAGGACCTGCACAAACTAATATGGTGGTGAACGGTATTTACCTTAATTGGAAATGTGCATTCGTAGTGATTATTCAGACAACGACACAATGTCGTGTAATGCACGCGGGTACACTAGCTTTATTTTTTGATATTGAGGTTATACGTGACTGTATTTTCCAGGACACTGCAGCGATTTTCCGCTGAGTGCTACGACTATATAATATCTATAATTATATATTTAACAGCAAGCCCTATATGGTTCGGAAGGTTTCTGTCATGACATGATTTTTTTTTTCTATCAGCTGTTTAAAATAACATGTTCGTATGTTCGTTGACGAAATTATTATGATCATTTAAGACCATTATTTTATTTTTGTAAGCACGATAAGCCTTATTGATGGTTTATACATATTACAGGAATTCAACATTTTGTTATAATTATTTCATTAAAGTTATTATTTAAAACATAAAAGAAGTGAGAAAAAATACAATCTATAATATGATCGTTCTAATACTCTCTGCAGGTTTCCATACGCGTAATATTTATTAATCGAATACGATAAGACTTATAATCAACCATTAACGTCATATAATATACCTACTATGCTATTTCCCAAATGATTCAATACATTCTGACTATAATATATTATGTCTTACATTATCATAGACGCTATTGAAACGATATACAAGAATATACAATACACATGATAGGTACAAAACATATTGTATGAAGTACAATATAAATAAGTGTGTAAGACAAGTAAATTGATTAGTAATTATATTGGCAATCGTGCGATGTATGCATAAAAAGCTAAATAATACACTAAAAACCCTGCAATGATACTTCTTTATATTATTTAAGTGTTAAAGTGTGTGTACACGGGTTGTCACAAAAGGTGGTTATGGGGGTTGAAATTCCTCCCGAGTTGCTATTTCAAGGATTTTTCTCGTTTATAATAGTTAATCTACCCAAAAGGAATAGTTACTTATAGGTAATGTTCTCAAACAGTACTTGCCTACAATAATATTATACTTTACATTATTATGTTCTAAGCCGTTCAATTCATTTTGGCACTCGGCAACCGTTACGATTTTTTACAAAAAGTGATCCAAAAACTATATTATGAAATATACTGAAAAAAATATCACAATTTCGATGACTAAGTCATTAAGATATATAGAGTGCCTGGACGGGGGTTATACCGAGGTAATGGTTTATCACTTGTTCGAACGAATATTACTTTTACATGACTTTGTGTGACTTAATAATAGGTAGGTATATAAGTGAAAATTTCATATTTTTTTTCATCCCTGCAGCCTGTATGGTGCGAGTGTGTTTATTGAGACAAATATTAAGTCCTATTAAAAGATAATGTTGGATTCGGTACCCATTTAGTGGTTAGACCAACAACGGTGTTGGTAACAAAAATAACCTATACAGGTACCTAAGTCGTATCCTCACATATGTGAAAACGAAAATCAACACGTTTGATAAAAAAATACTTAATGTATTATTATCTAGGTACATGGAACGGTGATGTATGATTGATTGTGTCAAGGTCACATACTACCGTAATGGATTTATACGTGTCGTGTGTGTATGTGTATATGCAAGTGTAATGTTACTGTCAATTAACAAGTTTAATGTGGTGAATATCGTAACATATATAATATTATGTCTGTATATATAATAATATGTACTGACGGTGAAATATAGTAAAACTGAGATAAGTTTTTGTAAAATTAAAATAATAATAAGTAAGTTTAACAAGATAATAATTATTATACAAATATTAATATTCTAACGAATTTACTATTCAAAATAAGCATTCAATTGAATGCTACTTTTATAAAATACAAGTATTCGTATACCTATTGAATAATGTTTACTGTTTTTTTTTTTTTAATAGTGAAAATCGATGATGGTGTGTCTTATATTACAGCAATATCACTGCAATAGATTACATGAGCTTCGGCATACCTACCTGCCCCCGGAGTAACGTTATTGTTTAAGTCATCGAGACCATCGTAAGAACTGTGTAAAGAGTTCAAACTTTAAAATATACATAGGAAATTTACAAAAAATGTGTTTGACTAAAGACAAACGATACTGAACCGTCGGCTTTAAATCGAGCTAATATAGTAATTTAATCTTATCATTCGGTTAGAATTTGTAACAATAATATATTACGTTTGCAGTCACCCGCAGCGAATCATCAATAATTATATTACTCGACTCGTCAATAATATATTATTGTTATGCATCGAAAACTGGGCGACGTATTCGCACTGGTTACGAGCGATTTTCGTCAACGTAAATGACACGCAAAAAGTTCGATATTTAGAAGGTGGGTATATGAAGCTTTAGTATATAACGCGTTACACAGTCCCCTCCCGAGGAAAGTTTGATTTACCGGGAAAACGGGTACCTATGGAAAAAATTTAAAAAAGTCGGTCAGAAATTCACAGGAATTAAGCACTAATTTTGCTCGAAAAAAATTGCAAAATTCAGATTTTGGAGTGGAGGGGTAACGTACGTATATGCATAATTAATGTATGCGCTACACAGTACCTATATAGGTATAGGTTGGTACTCGATCGTGCCACCGGTATAATATAATAATAATATACAGTATACACGTTTTCCTCTATCGTCTGTAGTTTACTGAACCGGGGTTGTCCATATATATTTTTAATGATTTTTTTTGGAGACACGGTCCAGAAGAGGAAGCGAGTTCTGCAGGGTTTCGGCTGAAACAATGATACAAATGGAAGGTAGCATTATCTGAACTCGTTCGGAACTGACGTGCGAAATTCCTGGTTTTTAATACCTACACGCTTGGAAGTTATGCTTTTTCGGTGAAACAAGACGTTTGTCAGATTTTTGTCGGTATAAAATGTATACCTATAACTACCACTGTATAATATAATAGTGAAAGCTCTGTTTCTCATCGCTCGAGCAGAAATCCAAAACAATTTGATGATAATAACGACAACACGATGACAATGAAGCGTACTAATATATACACACATCACGTACGACAATAGTGTTTTTTACAATAATTTACGGTCACCATGCTCATCACAATGAGCGCATATAGTATATGTAGCACCATAAGCGTGGGCACGGGGTAGTCATAGACACTTGTCTACTCTGAAAACTCTCCCCCCCACACACACACACCATCAATATTCAACAGTATCATGACAATCAATCATTTTATTTTTATTATTAAAATACATTTTTGATATAGTAAATACACAGTTAAATGAGATTACCCCATCCGACTCTGTGCACAACGTAGGCGTGGAAAAAAAATATCATATACGCATATGTGTGTGTGTGTGTGTGTGTGTGTGTGTGTGTGCGTGTGTGTTGTTATCATTCTACGACTACCCTGCCAAAAATTCCCGAGCACATTACACAATAATGTTTTATTATTATCGTAAACACAGTGATGGTCATGTGCTGTATGCGGCGACGGTCGAGAGAGACGAAGCCTCCGACACTCGCACACCGCTCGGTGCAGATCAATAACGCACACCACACGGGCATGATACATATTGTGGTACGACTATCGAATATTTATTTTTTATAATAAAATAATATTATTATTATCATCATAATATTTATGGTGACGCTTGTTCGTGTGTGAACGTGTTGCGCGCGTGATTGGACGTTTTTTACCTATACATATTCAACATCATCACGTCTGCCGAACTGTTCGACTCGCGTGGTGAAGCCGATACCGTGTGCGTGAACACGAATATAATGATAATATATTAATAGTATTGTGACATTAAAATATGTGCACAGTGGTGTAATCAAAGGGGGGGGCATACACCCCATCCACCTACACCACCACCATTATTCTTACGTAATATTTTTGACAAATACTGCGAGATATGTAAAAAATAAATATTTACCGCTTTTATAAAAAAAATCTCCCAGAATAATCAAACTATTAGATTTGATCTTGGACACAATATTATAAATAGGTATAAATGGGTAAGAAGTACCTAAGAATATTTTTTTCCGTAATATACGATGGTCCAGGTTGTCGGAATGTAATATTATTAAGCATATATAACACTAGTCGCTTGACTGTTCTGAAGGTGGATTACCAGAGTGTCGTATTTACGAGCAGTGCAGAGTTCCGATATAGATTTCCGGAGACGTACGTTTTCCCGAAGCTGCTCATAATCGAAAAAAAGTAATAATAAACACTCGCATCATCGAGGAAGTCAAACTGCAGGGACGGAGTAACGCAGTCGGGTATGGAATAAAGTGGAGGGGTGGACTAGACATACAAGACAATGAGCATCTATGTACACGACAGTGTACAACTCGTGTAAATGTATATGAATCGAATACTTATAATTTTTAAAAGTGATTTAAAAATACATTATAAGTTATATCTGTATAATATATTTTAGATACTACACGCCCATCTCAATTGTATAAGCCTATTCAGCATTGCACATTTTTTTTAAAGAAAATAACTATAATACATGATAAGTGCAATATGTCCTTGGAATAGTATCTAAGAAAGGTTTGCGCTCGCATACCTATAATCTTTTATTCTTTTATTCCACCTGTAAACACCTATATTGGTGCAGGTTGAAATGGCCACGGACTTCCCAGTGCACACACTTCTCCAATTTAGTTCTAAAAAAAAAATATAACTCAATAATTGAAGAATATGAATTTTTGTCCAAATTGTATTCGGCTATAGTAAAATGAGTGTATGTTATATATGTTTATGCTGGGGCGTTGCCAGTTTGAACGCAAAGGGCACCCTACACAAGAATTACCTAAAGTCATTTGATCAAACTTTTTTGCCCATTTGAGCTCGATTACAATTTCTACCTTAGAATTACAATAGATCGTTTGAACTAGTTTTGTATTTAATTTGTCTACCTAGTTTATTTGAGCGCATTCGATTTTTACTAATTCGTGTAAGACGAGAATTGTTATGTCAATAAAAAAATCATAACTCATTATAAACGAGCATTTTTTTTATTATAAATTCTTCAATAAAACTTGTTAATAGAAGGTATTATTTATTTAATAATTTTAGTTAATTGATATTTACCCATCATCAATTAAACACTTATTCCGGTTGTCACTATATTATATAACTTTTTGCAGCACTTCCATCATGTACTTAATTATAATACTTATGAACAAATGAATAATTAATGACAGTTGAAATGTTTTATCTAAATGTAGACTAACAATGATATCATAGACGTACTAGAAATGATAAGCTTTAAGCCTATAATCTATTTATATACATAAATGTCTGTCTGTCGGTCTGTCTGTGTGTCTGTCTGTCCTTTATGCCTACCTAAACGGCTGCACCTATTTTGTTGAAACGTTTTGTGTATGTTTGAATGGTTCCCTGGATGTTTTGGATTCACAATTGGACCCAATAGGTTCCAACCCGGGGAGGTGCATTGGTTGATCGAGTAAATCAGGTATAAGCATGCATCAAATCGAATTTTCGTACATTGCCTTCCAAGGTGGCTGAGTTGCACTTCTAGCCGCTCATCGGAGTTTGATTGTGGAATCAAGTTAAACAATTAAATTAAAATAAAACATTATTCATATACCACAGGTGGATTGCCTACCTAAAATCCTATAATATACTAATCGCATTATCACCAGCGAGTCTCATATGGAGTTTGAATTTTTAACAGACAACGAAATGAAGGGGATCAACTAGTATAATATTTATACATATAAGGTAATTCAAATATTTTACAAACCTTAACATTTGGACTATCCAATTTATCTTTTCATCCACTCGAATAAAATAGTAGTTTCCAAAGTGTGTCTAGAAATTACCTTTATATGCCAATGACCAAGAATAAATCTCCTATCTCGAGTTTTCAAAAATATCCTATCTGGAAAATCAGACTCGCCTACCCTCTTATCCTTGATGGTTTTGATTTACCTTAACGATTTTTCCGATATTCTATCCCTTTTGCCATTCCACTATTAAACTATATAGTTAAATGAACCCAATGTGGACCCCTCTTCCTCTTTTTAAAATTTTAAATAATATTGTTGTATTTTGTAAATTAGTATTGTTCTTGTTATCGTATTTATAAATATACTTGTATAAGAACTCAATCAGTCAAATCTAAATAGATAAGTAAATACTATGTCCAAAATAAGGTATCACCCGATTGCGTCCTGAGAAAAAAAGATCATATTTTGTATCCATGGCCCGAATGTATCCTAGTTAATTTAAGTTATCCAGGGTGCATACCACTATATACCACAGGTGGTTATTTTTATTTATTTTATTATTTTAGGTTGCACACATTTTTTCACATTCTCAGAATTCGGGTGAGTGTACTAATAATTTGTTATAACATTTTTTTTATTTGTAGAAGGTATCTATAATTTAACTTCACATTCTTTTTAAATTGAAAACACTGCTAATTAATTAACTAATTAACAATAGTAACTACTCGTCCACTATAGCATTACTTAGCCCATCAGTTCACCACCCACCAGTCGCCAGTTTTGTGTATAGTAGGTATTCAAACTTATTGAACTATAAACGAGCATTGTTATAGTCTGTAGTTATCCACTGCAGCAGTTACTATCGGAGTCAAAATTCACTATGTTTACAGCCGTTAATTACGTAAATAATAGAATAGTGTACATTTGTACTATCATAGTTGATCGTCGGTTCTATGCCTAAGAGTTTTGTCTGCTGACTGAAGGACGGAGGTACTCAGCCACTAAGATTATGTTCAATATAAATATTGTCGATAAGACTGCGAACGAACTCGGGTTATGAAAAAGGTAAAAATTAAAAACGTCAAGTACTCCAGACATAGCGAATAAAACGGCTTAGCCTAGCCTGGCATAACACACACAAATTGGTCATTGAAATCGCGCTCGTATTATGACCAACGGATATGCATATCTAAGCACTTTAAAACATCCGACTTCCGTTTATCATGTTATAAAACGTAAATAAATGTATTTAAATATATAACCATAATATTATGTATAAATGGTACTTGGAAATTAGAACTATTCATATTGTATTGAGATGCTTCGTCAAGAAATAATAATAAACATAATAATCGATCGCTTTGCAAATTATAATATTATATAGATAGGTGCCCAATTTAATTATTACTATTTACGAACGACGTCAATGAAATTAAATAACAAGCTATCTTATGTCTAGAAATGTATATAAAATGAATTGTATAAGTATATAAAAAAAGAGAAATGTGTATTACATGTGTGATACTGCAAAGTGCGGGTACCTACCTACTTGCATAAAGTATTCAAAAACGTATGAGGAAAATATCTGTGCGTGATCTACATTTTTAATTAATGACCTCTCCCGGATCTATTCGTGTCCTCCTTTTTTATACCGCGATTCCCAATTGTTTCAGAATAATTCAATTTAACCCGACAATATAATAATATTATGCACAGGAACGATTACAATATACGACCAGCATAGCAATATTACTATGTATTTAGAATATTATTATTATTATTACAGACGTGGCTTTTGTGAGGTGGACAAAATGGTTTGAAAATGTGTCGGAAAAACGTTTGGAAAATTCATATTTTTAAAAAGGTCGTGTTATAATGTAATGCATATGTATAATCTAGCATTATTATGCATATATATATATATAGGTACGTGACTCGCTCGCTATATTTACTCGCACAACAAACAAACACGATAATCTCACACTCTCACCACTCGGTTCCTTCGCAGATTTATCTCTCTTCGATGAATAATAATATATTTATATATATTAAAATTGTGTAACAACGGTGAAGTAAAAATGTGCCACGCATTAATGACCGTGGAGGCATATTATAATAATATAGATAGGTGCTACTGATTTGGTTTCGTCGACCCGAAGCGTTGAGAACACAATATATATTCGTGTTTGAATTTCGTTCGTTATATTGGTGTCGACGATGTATATACATTTTTTTTAACGGAAAATCGACAGAGGTTCATCACGTACACCATCTCACTGCTCATAATAGTATATTCATAAATAATTGTATAAGTACATTAGGTAATTAATAAATAAATTGTCATAATATCGTTGGAATAACCGTACCGTTACCGATTAAACATTTAAAAAAAAAACCATAGGTATCTACATAATATGTGAGATTCGAGAACAAAAGTCCAATTTTACTACGCTGGTTGTACTTACCGTAGTACGATACCTGCAGCAGGCAAAGGAGAAAAAGCTGAAAGCGGCCGAGTGATGACAGCATCTTGTCTGCAAAAATGTCGCAGCTGTAGTGGGGTATACCGAGGTATAGTAAGTGGTCGCCTCTCGAATTGCAAACGGAAAATGCTAGTATAATATGTCGTCGGACGACTCGGTGGTTTTCTCATTCAGACTATATTGTACACTATAATATTATTATTATTGTAATACCTGCGGCTCGGATCAGCGCACTCGAACAGCAAAACGATACAGATAAAAAATCAATTAATCGATACAATGTTGTACAAATCGATTGGGATTTATTGGCCAAAACACGAAAAATCAATTTACTGCCAAGAGTGCGATCCGGCGATAACTGTATACAATAATAAGTATGCACAATAAAAATAATTTCGAGTGAATCTCGAGCGCGTATCAATAATAATACCTTTAATTGATGTTATAAATTGCTCATATTATGTATAATGTTGCAGATTACCGACGGACGACAGAACTATACGATATGAGAAATCGGAAACTTGAACCATCATACACTCAGGTATCGTAAGTTGTTTCATTTTCACGCACTTAAAGGTTATTAAATCACGATTTATGGCCACCGCAGTACGATAATATACAGGGTGTAACAGAAGCATCAGCCAAAATATGAAAAACTGGTATGCAAAACGTACGAAAAACATTTGGAAATTCTATGGACAGTAAATATTTTATTAAGACTCACGTATGTCTGAAAATTCCAAAAAATAAAATATTTTTAAACTTTATTATGTCTCGAATTATTTTACTATAAAAAATATTGATATTTTAAAAAAAAAAATTAACTCTTCGACTTAAATACAAATTTTTACCATAAACAGTTTCTAAAAGTTAGATTTACAAATAATTTGTGGCTTTTATTGGCAATTTTTGAGGCATTTTTTGAACAAATTATTGGGGTCTTTAAATAAAATTGAAATTTTTTTGTTTCCTGTATTATTAAATAAAACAATACATTTATATGCTGTAGAGCAAGCATCTATTAATTATATATTATGTACAAAAATGTTTTTAATATTGATCAAAACAAAAGTCATGTCATTTGTCAGGTCATTCTATCACACCTTGTATACTTAAAAGTGTCTACATTTTGTCAATGTCACACCGGCCACAATCGTATATAATATATTTTATTGTTTATTTTGTAGTGCAGTCTTCGCAGAAACATAAAATATAAAAACGGACACAATAGCACTACAAGGGAGCTAATTTTCTGGGTTCACACAAACCTGTGCTCGTGCAATTATCGTAGTCAAGTTTTAAGTCTTAAAAAATCGTCGATAGTTGTGAGGCAATAAGACCGTGGACATGGAACACAATACAGTCACATTTCAGAAAAATACGCGGCTCGGGAATATGACAGCATTCGTTGCACATTAATAGTGCAGTGCGGCTGCTGTATTTTTGCGGTGCAGCTGATGACCAAAGAGAGCTAAATAATAGTCATGAAAAGTTTCCGTGTCCCGCTGTCTCGATGAATAACGCCGAGAGCAACATGACCGCAGACAGACTGATGATCGATATTTATAAAAAATAATCTGCAAGATAAAATTTGAGATGATGCAGACAACTATAGTATATTTCACGTCTCTCATATATATACATATATAGGTATATTATATAAAAAATTATCAAGAAAATGTTTTTTCTTTTTTCTTTCAATATTCGATAATGTTTTCCATGTTACTGCACTCCACACTGTACCTACTTATATACAACTGCAATCGCTGCAGTTTGTCGTTAACAATATGTTTATTCTTTTTAAATCGATCTGATTTATTTTGTATTTTTGCATTTGTATAGGTAAAGAGTCAGTGCATTATATACAACTATAACTTAGATAGTTTATATATTATAATATTTACGATGCGTCTCTAAAATAGCCAATTTGGGTACCTATACCTTATAATACGACTAGGTCGTTTTTCAAGATGCAATTTTTATCTCAGATTAGAAATTTGAAACCTGAATGCATAATATTTTATTTTCACTTGTGAAAGTATGTTTATAAAGACTGCTCGTAAATATAAGATAGCTAAAAGAGTCAAAAAACGTCTAAATGCCCCATTTGTATAATATAAGACATTTAGCGGTAGTATAAGACCCGACATAATATTATTCCTACACTCAAATATAATTTTCTAAATATATAAATACTTATTAAGTTATTGTAAACTTACCATTTTTTTTTCGAAATATAATATATACTAAAAGATTTTATTTATGGCCCGAAATTCTTGGCAGCGTAATCTTCAAAGTTTATAAGCTTAAAACACTCGCCATAAATATTTATTCAGTTATTTTACCGAATATATTTTTACAACCAGAACGCTGTTTCGAAAATTGTTTTCATAAAAATTGCACGGATTTTTCAGATTATATATATAGGTACTGAGAACAAACTACTCTTTTAAAAGTAATATTTAATAGTTTTTAATAATAATGCTCCCCGTAAACGTCATAATCATAAATACCTTATAAACTAATATAATTATTATTATTTAGGTACTTACTAACTACTTGTTATTATTATTTTTATATTACGTAGGTATTTAACATTATATTATAACAACATAATACGTTTTATAATAACGACATAATACAAAAACTAAATAACGCCATATTATCATGATATAGCTAATATTACTATTATGGGTGCAGACTGTAGATACGTGGATAAATTTAATAACAAATAACTATTAATACTTGTTGTTCGGTCGGCCGTCAGATATATTTTATTATAATATTTTATTATTTCAGACTTCAGTCGTATCGTTGCCACATATTACTAATGTAAATTATATAAATATAATATAATACTATATATTGTATAGGTGGGTGTATGGGTATTCTGCAGCTGCAGCTTGGAAGTCATTGATCACGTTTCAATTTATTTATTTGCAAAACATTATCATCTCAAATGTGAAACTTAAATTTGTCGTCGCCATTAAATGCAGCACAAAACAAAACAAAAAACTCGCAAAAATAGCGATCGAGTGCTGCAATTATATATTTTAAGCCAGTTATAAAGCTGGTATATAATTTATACGTATTGTATTATGTACATTTTATTACAAAATCACAATAAAAATTATATTATACTATAATAATATATACTATTGTTGTACACATACTTTAGGTGTTTCACTAACTATTCTCATCTCCCTTTTTACCTTTGATAATATTAATAATGTGAGTTTATTCAAATACTGATTTTTAAAACTTTTGGTATACTTTTTAATGTCCGTCGTATGTACTGTCAAATAGATACCTGATTTGATTTTTTAAGTCATTTAGGGATATGCTCAGTAGCATTTTTCTTTTTAAATTTCTATCTAAATAAAAATGCGTACAAGTATAAGTACCTAGATATCTACATGGTTTCTAAAATATTAAAATGTATGTACCTATACCAAGGATAATAGTTTCTATTAATATTAATGGTTTCACAAAAAAACAAAATAGATGTAATATTTAGTCTAATACTTATTATTACGACTTTACAAATTATAAAATGTTGATACATAAATATTATATAATCACTATAATTTTTAAAAACACCATCGCATCCCTATTCTCATAGACCCTATTATGTTAAGTACCTATTTAATGTTTTACAGCTTGAAAGCAACTCGTTTGAAATCATCTGCTTAAGATGAAAAGTAAAAACGGTGAATAAAAGAAGTTTGCAGACCTGACATTTAGCCACAGGACAGTCTTCAAAATTATATAAAAATATTATATTAATTATGCTTAAAATTTCCATAAATTTGAATTTGGATAAAAACAAAATTAAAGGAAAAATCAGGTGGGAGCATACTTAGTGTATCATCCTGTACATAAAGACGTGGTATTACACGAAGATAAACAGTTACCATTTTCGAGGTCGAAGACTCGAAACTTTAATGTTACTATTATGTAATATTAGAAATGCATTTATTATTATATTGATTGTTTAACTTATTATTTTTTTTTTAATTATATTTATCATGAATTTATTTATTTTATATCGACAATAAACAATGGGGCAGACACGCAGGCACTATTTTACACTCGTTTGTGTGTTTCTTCGTGTTGAGTTTGTTCAAATATTAGAAATAAATACAGTCCTTTTATTTATTTATTACCGTTGTGCTTGATTTTATTCCAAATTTTTAGAGAAAATGATTTCTCCATAAAATTATAGTTATAATTAGTTTTCGCTTTGAAAATCAGAAGAAGTAAAAAGGACACATAGAGAGAGAATTTTAATTTTGTATGGAAAGTGAATTATTTAGGGTAATAGTGACAATGAAATCGATTAATTAAAACTCAGTTAAAAATATATTTATTAGAATTTTTAAGATTATTCAAGATAATTTTTCGATAGAAATAAACTAAAGTTGATTAATCTATATCAGAACCTCTATACAAAATTAAGTACTAACTCGAATGAACTATCGACTTTTTATATATTCACATCCATGTCGACTTAAATCGTATACAAATATTAATTCGTTTTAACTTGAAAATAATGATAAAAAATGGAATGTCGAAAACGAAAAGCTCTCAAAAAGCTATATTTTTTTCTATTCGCGGGTTGTGCGCTTTGTCTTTAAATCCTGATTGTTTCGCATTCTCCGCAACCAGAAAATTTTTTCAAGGCATCAATATACACAAATAAAGAACGTTGGACCAATACATAACGTTCTATATAATTTATAAAAAAAAACGTTTCAAGTTTCGATGCAAGAGAAACAAGGTGGTGTCCAGGGGGGGGGGGAGATATCCCTGTAAATGATTCCCTCTACAATGTAGAGTCTTATCCAATCGTCGAAAACTAAAAATACTTGCATAATTAATTAACTATTATTATCTGAAACATTCGATACTCATAAAGTTATACGTCGTATATTAATTAATTAAAAAGCCAAGCAATAGCCATTATTATAATAGCCCAATAATTCAAAATGTAGTGTGAATAGTTTAGTGTATTTTTTTTATGTAATACCTATGTATAATTTATGGCCTGCCATGGCTAACATGATTTACAATAAAAAAAAATTTTGAAAGCACTTTTTTGAATTCCAAAAACGATAAATTTTATCGAATACCCTTTTCCCTACTTATTGTCTATTGAAAACATATTGAAAAAAAAAACGATTTTTAAATCGGTTTAGTTTTTTTAATGAACGAGAACCATAATATCTCAAAGTTTCGAAATCTAGCAAAAACCATGTAAATCCTAACGCGTTACATGTTACCATTTTCATACTTTTTAGTAGATATTATAAAATAAATAAGTCCATGAAATTGGTACCTTATTGGCTTGAACTTATTGACTCCAAGCCCATGTCAATATTTTTCAACATGAATTTTTAAGTCTGCTACTCTTTACTCTTACTGCAATCCTTTTTAGGGGGTGACAACTTCACTTATTCCTCGACTTCATCCGATCCATTCCAATCCTACACCAATATTTTTCAAGTGACTTGCAACAAACCTAGCCAGCTAACCATGTGGATGATTAAACTTCCAGATCAGATTTACACACACGGCACACTTTTGCTCATTAACTTGTCGCACACTGACAGGTCACAAAAATACCGTCATCTAAATTTGCCTATATTTTGCTCCTTAAAACACGGCCGCCTGCAGTCCCAAATATCATCTGAACGCTTTAATACCGTAGACTGGTGTAATTATTAATATATTTAACAATTTTAAATCAGAGTATTTTTTCCCAACTCTGTCCATGAATTATTAACAGGTACGTTAAACACGGATAACCTACACTCGCCTGTAAGTCCCAAACCATGGTATCTATCGTTGATAAGAACTTATGTGTTTCACCTCGTAACATATTCCAATTATTAAACTGTAACAGTTGTACATATTTGATTGTTTGTTTGTTTTTTTTTCATAGTTCGTTTTCTTTTATGATCTTATTCAGTTGAAGTCGAATGCTTGAAAAGTAAAACTGACAGTTAAAGTTCGTATGCCTGCAAGTCAATAGGATGTTATACCTGAATATGCTGCCTCAAGTTAATTTTAAGTTCAGAATGGATTACCATCTAAGGCGATTGCAAACGATCAGTTATTTCAACCAAAATGTATCAATCTTTTGTCAATCATACTCAGGTGGCAAAGTGGGGGGAGCAGGGAGAAGCAGTCCCAATACCTCTGACGGCTGTTAAAAGGATTCCCCTTTAACAAATTAGAATTAACATTATTCGGGGTGATTAAAAGTGGGATGAGTATGCTTACACAATCAACGTTTGAACACATTCCATATACATAAGAAATTACCTATATACACAAAATGAAACAGATACGGGACGCTTAATTAGACATATAGGCCTCTTGGAATTTTGAAGTCAATTAGGTTACATTTTAAGATTTTCAATTTCAATTTCAGACCCAAGATCTGGACATTTTTTTCACATTTCGTTCACCAAATCATATACATTTTAAGTATTTAAATGTTTGATATTTTGAATGTTGACTATCCGAAATTCAAATTAAATTTTAAAATGTGGTCTAAATGAAACAGACATTTTAACGAATTCAAATCAGTTTTCAAAAGTCTTACGCCTTTATCAGGTCCATTGATAGATACAGTGACATGTACTATACAATAACAATCACCCACTAAGCATACATTTACATTTACACACATGCATACACATATAAAATTGCCTATATTGAACTCCTTAAAAACTGTCTATTTGCATTCTTTTGTTATTTTTAATAAATGAGTAAATTAAGCTATTATTTAGGTTTAAAGAAAATAATATTATCTAAGACTTATTATGATACTTTTATTTTCAACCTAGTTATGAGTAGTATAGAGTAGTATTACTGTACATTTGTTGTATATTTTCTAACGCTCATGACTTGCGGGTTTCACGTCCTTCTAACAATTTTGCGCCATTTTCACGCCATTTCAATATTTCAATAATTACCTATTTTATGTCTTGGATACAACGTTACTGGTTTTTTTGAATTGTTCATATAATGATGATAAGTGGTTATTTATAGCAGAAAATACATTATAGTAATACCAAATATTAAATTTGATTATTGAGAAGAGGCTATTTTTAATTATTTTTAATATAGTACCTTATATTTTATAATATTTATACCAAACATCAAATTTTTTTTTTTGTTATAGCAAGCCAATAAATTATTTTTTTCATACTCGATTATTGTAGAATACCGTTGGAATTGTCAATCGTGTGTCCAAGTACAATTTGTACTAAGGATAATAGTCCGTAATAGGGATATGCTTGTACAGTTCTACACATGGAATAAAAAAAATAACTAAACAAATCAAGAAGGATTTTACTTGGTATTTACTTAAGTGTTTGACTAAATAAATATAAAATGACGTATTATTTTGTATTATGTGTATAGACTATAGATAACAGCGTATACTGTATAAGCATATCCTTCTTCCCTATTATAAACTCTATTATCCTTAGCACAACAAGTGTAATAACTAGAAAACTACTCGTTCGAATTTTGATTTCAATACATCAAAATTCCCAAAAAAATTATCCGCTAAATAATTCAAAGAAAAAAGCAGGGTTTTCATTTAAAAAACAAAGGTTCGTATCGCCACAGGACACTCCTTAAGTGGCACAACAAATTTCAAGACTATGGTCTTTGAATATATTTAAAAATTCCAAAATTCAGATTTTGAAAAACTTCATTATAAAAGAAAAAAAGAGGTGAGCATACTTGTAGGATCATCCTGTATATAGTTCCGGGAAAGTACCCATTTAAACGAAAAATTCAAGTTTACCACACCACTGCTGCAGGTTATATATGGTCTCATATATACTTGTTGCACGTGAGGGAGACTCCATTTTTTAAGTGGCTCGCGCTAAAAGTATAACATAATATATGATCTAAATAAACGTAGGTATCTACTAAATTCGCTAGACAAAAATGTATCACTACGCAGGCATGCGTATACGTCACGCATGTATTACACGATGTACGATAGCTGGTACTTTGTGTTGCAGGACTTGTTTTAAAATCCTTAAAGCGTGTGTTTGGACTGCGTAGCTCGAAAATGCGGAGGATAGTGCAATTTCCATTGGTACCTGGTGGCTAGTATAAGCGAGAGCAGGGTGCACAAAGTCGTGCACACTTTTGAAAAATATTTAAAATAAACCCTAGCTGGGTTACACGATTGTAATATTGTCATGCGATTGATCCAAACCAACATAATATTATATGTATAACTGCTCGCCGGACGATTGTGCGTGGACTTTGGGTACGGGTGATGGACTGCATCACGGTGGTGGGCAATATTAGCCAAACCGATCTAACGATTTACTTTATTGGTCGAGCGCAGGTATATAATGCATATATATTATATAGGTATCAGTAAAAAAAGCTCGGTGTATGGCAGCATCGTCCACGTAAAAACAACAACAAAAATATAGATATTTCCTCCCAGATGGGATAAATAAGAAAAATAATATCTGATACATATTACACAGTGCTCAACGGTAATAGATTCGATCAGTTCAAGAGTTGATCTCATTATAAGCCTTAGTGTGCTGTTTAAATCGAATAAAAAAAAACAGTCCTCCATAGAGCCCCTGCATTATATGACTTTCGCACTCATCGGCCGCCGCCGGGTTGCGGTCTAACGCACACGCCTGATGTATATATATATCGTGATATCATGTCATTGCGTAAATATTTTTTCGCCATACCCAAATATAACTTGCAATCACAGATCTCTGCATAGCGATTTCGTTTGGCGTTTCAGATCCATTTGTTACCTATATATAGGTATGTACGGAATAAATAGGTATAAATCCATGGAGGACTATTACTATGGGTGTATAGGTGAGAGGAAGATCGACGGTTGTTTTCGCAGCCGCGGAAAGGTGTAGAAATAAATGAATAAAATGCAACGTATTTAAGGAATAACAAAATGTATTATATCATTCGCAATATTTTACACAAAAAAAGTAATGTTCAATCGAAAAAAAACAATTTCTATTAGCGAATACATGTTTTTTTTCATACATAATCAGTATAATAAAGCTCTAAAAAAAATACAATATAATATTTTTTTATTCGTATCGTAATAATATTAATAAAATATATTCATATAATTTCATTATTATATAAACGTATCTACGGTTTTATCAATTTTTTTTGTTTTGTTTAAAAAATTGTATCATTTAATTATTACTTCTTATCACCCGGGTAACATATTTTATACTCATCAATTAATATTGTTGATAATCTCACGTTTTTTATTTAAAAAAAAAATGTTATAATAATAAAAATAATAATAAATAAAGGAAGACTTAAGTAACGGAGCCCAGACGAGTATTTTTAATCATTTTTTGTGAGGGGGGGGGGCCTGTTTCGGTTTCGCGAACTGCACACTAAACGAACGATTATTAACAACACATAATCAAACGAATTAAACGAAATGAGAGAAAGACCGCTGCACTTTCTCCTGCACGCGTAGTGTGTATAGAGGGTTAGGTTATGTATTATTTTCTTTTTTTAAAGAAACAAAACAATTTTAACTAACGTAATACGATATAAATATTAGCCGCCCGGACAGTGTTCATATTTTGTTTGTTTATTTTATTTCGTCTACACGCGTACCTATTACGTCTCGTTTTATACACAATTTTATGCTAGACTCGCTATAGTAAATATATTATTATCACACAGTTAAAAAAAGTAAGTATGGAAAAAGTCAGGAAGACTGTTCCTACATAGCTTAAACGTTATAATCGCACTAAAAAAAGTTTTGTCTAGTAGCAGCGAAAAACACTATGAAAAAAAATTGTTAAACAACTCATTTTTATCATATTATATATTATATCGATATATTATATAATATTATTATAATTATTATAATAATATTTGTATATACGTATTTAATAGGAAAACAATGTCTACACGGCCGCCGAAAATGAGAACTCGCGTAAAGTAATCCCCCTCCCTTGTGCTCCTGATTCTACTCGAAAAATAAACGAAAACACAAAATAAAAACAAATTGTTAGAATTTATCATTTTTTTTCTTATTTTTTTTTTTTTTTTTGTACTATCACTACCGATTAGCCTATACCCCAATCGGTTTTCTATAAAATTGTCTACTTTAATATAATATATTGTCTATGTTGTTTAATATCATATAATATATAGTTATACATTCTCATAATATTATATTTTAATTTTATACATACATATATTAATTTATTTTATACTCTTTTCGTTCGATTAAAAAAAAAAAGAGACCGATTGGATGAATTTAACACAGCCCTTGTTTGATTATCTACAGTTACGAAAAAACAAAAAATACAATATTCATAATTAAATTATCATGATTATCTATGTACACGTCATTCACGATACATATGATTATGCGTAAAATGAAAAACATAATCAAATGCATACTTATTCGTACGAACATTGAAAAACGTTTCGAAAACAAAAAAAAAATACATTTTATATATATTTATAATAGTAATATAAAGTAATGATAATAATAATAATAATAATAATAATAATAATGAAAAAAAAATAGATACAGAGAGAAAAACGAAAAAAAAACATTTGCGCGAATTGGTCGTTTATTGCACATAAAAATATTAAAATAAAATAAAATGGTCATTTTTTGTAATAAGTCTCCCGGACTGCATATAAAATAATAACACATATATCGCACGTGATCATGTGCACAAAAACGTAGTAAAAGGATAAGACGCACACCACACTGCGGACATGTCGCAAAGACAGGTGTGAAGTCGATTAAATGAAATAAAATATAAACTTTAGGAGACAGTCGTATAAGTGAAAACAAAAATGTACGTTTTTGTTAGGTTTGTCGACCACCTTACCGGTCGTCGGGTGACGACAGCGATGGCGGTTATGACTCAAGCGAGGCGATCAGGTTGCGGAACATTGCCGACTGCATCTCGCTGAACATGGACGCCTGTCCGCAAGACAGGTTCGTCGGCGACGTGGACCCAGTGGCCGACGACGACGATGTGGCCACGCCGTAATGCTGATGCTGTTCGCCGAGCGACGGGGGCGGCGGTGGCAGCGACAGCGACGAACAGCAGTCTACCGATGCGGAGGTGACGGTGGTGGGCTGCAGCAGCACATCCTGATGTTCGACCGCGGCCGGCACCTGGCCGCCGTACAGGTCGAGGGAGTCGTCACAGCACGCGTCCATCAGCGACCAGCAGTCGGGCGAACAGAGGTCGGTGGCCAACGGGGTGGAGTCTGCTGCCGACGGGGTAGTCCCCGCCACGACGGCGGCCACTGCGGCTGCGGCCGCCGCGGCGGCTGCCTCATCCGTCCTCAGTCTCTTGGCTGCCGGATACTCGTGTAGGTCCAGGTCCACCACGTTCACGTCTTCGTCCTCACGCTGGTTGTTGTTGATGAACTGCGACAACAGGTCGTCGAGCGGTTCGTCCACACACCGCTTCCGCTTGCCGCGCGGTGACGACGACGGTAGTTGCATCATTATGGACGCGATCGTGTCATCGTCCACGTCGTCGTCATCTACTTCTTGGTCGTCAACGTCTTCGTCGTCCACTTCGTCATCGTACCCGTACGGCAACGGTCCACCAGACGCGGTCGCCGACGACGACTGCTGCTGCTGGTGATGGTGGTGGTGGAGGTGGTGGTGTTGTTGTTGTTGTTGTAGTTGGTGATGGTGGTGGTGGTGGTGGTGGTTGTTATTGTGGTGGTGGTGTTGTAAGTGGTGGTGGTGTAGTAGGTGGTGATGGTGGTGGTCGGCCGCCAACAACAACGACTGAGCTTCCGTCAGCGGTTTGTTGTTGTTGTTGTTGCTGCTAATATTGTTGTTGTTGTTATTGTTGTTAGCCAGGGTCTTGCCGACCGTGACCGCGTTACCGCCAACTCCAACGCTGCCGGTGCCATTGGTGCAGGACGATTCCCTGAGGTTGGTGATGTCCACGAGCTGTGGGTTACCACCAGGGCCGCCACAGGGTTGCGACTGCTGAGGACCGTGGTAACCGTAACCGGCGGACGTCGGCGACGGTGGTGAGGCGGGCGACGTCCGTCCCGTAGTCCGGTCGTCCCTGGTCTCGGCCTGCAGCCTCTTCACCGTGTTGTTGATCAAGACGGACCGGCACAACGAACTCTCGGCGTCGTCGATCTTCTTCATCTTGTTCACAGATATCTTGAGCACCTTACGCCTCTCTTCTTTCAGCCGGTACTTGGCACTGATCATCGATGGCCGCGAACCCGAGTTCCAGCCGTAACTCCTCCGGGTGCCTAACAGCTCGTCGATCTCGTCCATAATCGTAATGTTCTCGCTGGACTCAACGGGTCTCATGTCCACAAGCATTTGAGACGTGATTCACCAATAGCATATCATTCTGAAAACGAAACAGGGAAAAAACTGTTAAATATCGATTTTAAATGATATCGTATATTGTATAAGTAATAAGGGTAGGTGATGTATCGTTGGAATGTAGTTGGAAACGTCGTGTGCGTTACAAGAGATCCGTAGCGGTTTTGGTCGGAAAAGAGAGGGGAGAGATTAGGTAGGGTGAAACAGTTTTCAAAAAAAACGACGATCGGCAATAATCAATTTTTACATCTCTCGGAAAGGGTTCGCCGGTGGACGGACGGTAGGCATATAATATTATTCATTTTTGCCAACGGGTCAGGTATTTTTAATATGTAAAGACCCCCTCGGCGTCGTCACACATTGTTGTGTACCCATGCATGCCACACCCCTATGTGCGGGAGACGACGACTGCAACGACGGCGGTGGTTAGCACCCCTCGAGGAGGGTGTGTGGGAAACAAACCGAAATCGGACGTCCGTAATACAAATACATCAAAAGAGAGTGAGAGAACAACTGCATCTGCGCCGCGCCGTGGCAAATAAACACAAGACTCTAATGCTCGCGCTGCGTGTAAATATTGTACAACAATAATTATGAATGGGTAATATTATTATTGAATAGGTACTTGTGGTGTATAATACGTGATTTTACAACGACGAGAAAATGCGCAGCGACGGTTCCGAGGCCGAGTCAATATTATATCGTCGATCGACATCATCTGCTGCGAAAAGACACCACGAAAATAAGACTGTGCAATACACTATAATGGTCCTATGCGACGGAGCTACGAAGTTTTGTGAATTTTTAATATTTATACCGATCACTTTTCATTCACATGCGATAGTTTCGCAGAAATCGCGAAGTAGTGACAGCAATGGAGAGAGAAAATTTAACGCGTAAATATTAGTCAGGAGGTCATTGCGTGTCGTCATCGCCGCCGCTTGGAGGTTGCCAAAGCAAGGCCGAGACGGCGTACACGACTTGCGCATCACAACATACACAAACATACACAAACATACACAAACATACGCGTGCAGCAAAAATCATAGACTCCGTGAAACAACGTCGTTGCAAAAATTCGAATATGCCTACGACATGTGCACCAAATTGACCTTGGCAATTACCAAGTACGCGTTGAATATTTGTGAACATTTTTGATACCGTTAATGCGAATTTCTAAAAAGACGTCGACTTAAAGGCTATCGGCATTAGGTATTCGTCGAATTAATCCGTTCGAGTTTACCGAAGCCACATGACACCTATATTATGCATTATTAATATTTTCGGATCGTGAACGTGTCCCAATGTCAAAGAAAGTAGTCTCTGCTGTCAAAACAATAATTACGGATAAAAAATACGTAATACACTCCGTACGGCGTATTATTATTTATTTTTAGTTACAAACGTAAAATGTATACGAATTTACCGGAAAAGCTTTTCGCCGACGATACGATATACCTCGGCTTCAAGGTAAACTATAAAAGGACAAGACCGCAAGGTCGTCGTAACGTAATACTGTTCGCAAACGTTACAACTATTGGTAATTGGTGTACCGACGACACTGCAATATCGTGTTGTGCAAGTACGAATATATTGTTATTACTTATAAGTTATTACAAACGAACCAATTAGAGCTTAAACGAAATGATGACAGGCATATATTATATTAGTATTAGCCTAACGATTGGAGTATAATATTATTTTCAACTACCTACAGGAGTGGGCGATATCACAAACCTACCACAACTACTGTTCAATCGGAAATCGTTCTGGGACGCGAATTTCACGAGATCTAAATATGACGTGTAGGTAGGTACCTAAGTGGGAAAAAAAATAACAACAACACGATCACAAGTCGGCCCAACACTTTCTCTAGTCCGTCCGAGCGGCTCGGCGCTGCGCAGTTGCCATTCCGGCGCGTGACGAATGATCCGAACAAAACGCAAAACCGCAAGTACGGCGGCGGCGGCTAACCGGTGGCGGTGGCGGTGGCAACGAGTGAAAAATCGAGTAAACGGGTAAACGACGGTCCGACTAACGTTTTGAACGGACCACTCGCGCGTTTGAACGTCCGTCATTTTCACGAAATTAGTTGTAATTAAGACGCGCAGATTGCGTACATCCAACAGGAAAAATAACTCAACACGCCTAATGCCTACAATAATCGGAACAATAAACGTTTAAACGACACTAACCGCTGAAAGTGGCACCGCGACAGCCCCCAGCGGTCGGGTGCCCGCGACATTGACCCAGATAATTAAATTTGTTATTTTTTCGATTCCCCTCCGCTGTGGCGGAGGAGATAGATCTCTACTCGTGGGAGCACGGCGCGCGCGCGCACACACTCGCCGCACACGCAACCTTCGCGCGTGCCGCGACTACTCCGCCGACAGTGTTGTTATTATTGTCAAATTAATACTTAGACGGATTTTCACGCGCGACACGGCGAAACAGTGGTCGCGAAAATATCAAATTAGGAGAATCTCGGAAAACTGAGACGAAAAACGCGATGGAAAACGATAATTTTTCCGGTCCGCGAATTTTTTCCCGACACGAAAATAAAATAAAACGGTCCGAAATAATATTAGGACGTTTGGGAAAAATTCTGATCGACGAGAAATGTGTCGGCGGATCGGTGGCGAATATGTAGGCCACCTCACCGCGGAAGACGCGGCTGACCGCAAGTCGTGACACGGAGACGACGGCGTCGTAGGTATCCGCGAGCGCGGAGGGGCGGCGGGTTTTGTCGGGTACCAGTCTTTGGCGGTGGCAGGGGCGGGTACGACAACGACACTGCTGTCCGCAGGCAAGGCCGCTTATTAGGCCGCCGCCGCCCACAGGTGTATTATTATAATAACATAATAATAATCATATAGATAGATAGATATCGTTTGGAAAGCGATTATATTTAATAATTAATATTAATATTAGTATGAACGAGAGTAGACCTTTTTCGAATTGGGTAAAATTATTCATAATATAATCGTGATTCGTCGACAGAAGACTTATCGTCGTGATCCGGACGAGTAATAACTAGCCAAAAATTCACATTCGTGCGAAAACGACTGATTTTCGCGTTTTGATACGATGAAAAATTAAAATAGTCGGCTACTATTTTTGTGCGAAAAAAAATTGACTGGCAGTGAACCGCCACTTGCGGCTGAACTTGGACGGCGCCGGAGGGATTAAAGACGTCAGAGACAAGCAACACTTGCAGACTCGGCTGGACGACCGATCCGCGGGATGAACTGGTTGATACCGGATATCGTGGGGACTGAGGGTGTTGTACATACAAATCCGACTTACCGGTGAATCCGGAGCGGAAGAACGGTAATCCGAAAATGTGTCCGGAACAGTTGTGCACCATTAATATCGTAAACGATCTCGGCACGAACCGGGTATAACCAATAATTGATTGAATAATTGAAAAAAAATAATTACGCACAATCGCTGGTATTCGAAAAAAAAAATGTTTTTCGCAAAAAATAATTATTCAAACACCGGAGCACATAAACCAACGCACACGGTTTACGAAAAAAAAAAATTAGCAATATCAATAAAATAGTCGTACGCGACTTTTGGCGGTCGGTCGCGCGGAGACACGAGAACAACGCACCGCAAAACACCAAGACGGACGGACACGACGACGCACACGGACTGGCGCGCGAAATTAGACTGGGACAGATTATGGAATCAATTACACACGCGCGCGCTCTCACAGTGGGCGCGGGGCGGGGCAGCGGCGGCGGCGTCGGTGGTCACGGAGCGAGCGAGCGAGCAAGTAGCGACGTCGTCGTCGAGCGGCAGCCGTGTGATGAGCGAGCGGAACGATAGCTGGCACTTGTGGCCGGCAGACGGGCAGAAGGCGAACTGGAGAATGTGCGGCGCGCCGTGCGCGCGTCGTGTGCGTTTTTTCGTTCCCCCCGCCGCCGCCCCGGCCACCGCACAGCTGTATCCGTCGCCGAACGGTCGGTGGGGGGAACTCCGTTATGTGAGTCGGCCGCCGCCGCCGCCTCGTAAGTTTGTGCGTGCGTGTGCGCGCGCGTTACCGTGTGCTCTCGTGACGTCACGCCCGCCGCCCGATGGTCGGACCGTAATGTGGCGCCGCCCGTCGGAGCGCCCGACAACCAAACGCGACATCGGCAAAGACGGGCGGACGGGCGCCGCTGGTTCCTCTCCCAACCGCCCGCACCGCCGTTTCCATCGCCGGCACGACGCTCGCCAAACGGATTCGACTCGTCGCGCCAAAGACAATATTAATATTATATTATATTATTATAATGTTATCGTTTCATTTATTTATAAACGCTATATAATGTAATAATTAATAAATTAAGTAATTAATTAGTCTTATGAATAATATTTTGCCGAGTCGTCGAGGCTTTACAATACCCGGGCGTTCCGTGCAAAAAATCGTTTTCGTTTCTTCCTCCGTTGTTTTTCCGGTGTCGGCCGAAACACGCAGCACGTTTTGAAGTCAACTCCTCGCAATGGCCTTATTACGCCGAGTTCCGGGCAGGTGCTCATTCTGGCGTTTAAATTTCAAAATATTGTGTTTTATAAGCTCGTGTGTCACGTGTACGGCACACGGGCTCCTAAAATAAAATATTGTGGCCCTAGCACGTAACGAAGAATTGATCGTAACCAGTGTTAGCATTGTTAATCGTTAGTTAATAATAACTAATAATGTTACTCAATCCTTAGTTTGCTACGTTCTAAAACCGAGTATGATTTGATAATATTATATTAAATATCGATAATTCTTTATAAGTCTAACTTATCATGTCGTTATCGTTTAAATTATTTTTTCATTTATTTTCCCTTGTGTTGTACCGAAATTGTATTCATATTAATTGCATTTTAATAACCATTTAGAACTGTTGCACCCAGCTTAAACCGTATGGCTTTCGGGAGTAATCTCCTCTGTACTTTATCGCGTTCAATTTTCTTAATGATTATTCCAAACAATTATTTTTTTTTTTCTTTTTATCAATAGTTAGGTACTTATGATTTTTGCTCGAATGTTTACGAATGATGATTTACAATAAAATTAACGTAACGTTTTAATTTCCATTTGTTTACATATTAACGAAAGATTTGGATGACAATGTTTTCGGCTGTCAAATGTAGTGTTTACTTCATCTGCTGCATGTAGTTGTTTTTATGTGTGCTAATTGGTTGAGTATACATTTGATTTGAGATTTAAATGATCATTAGGCACAATGCGAGCACACAAATCGCAAGACAATAAAATACGACGACGAATAAAGTAAACACTTCAACGATTATGCGTACAACTACTACACGTAGTACCTGGTATTATGTTTAATGTAGGTCCACTTATCTCCATGAATTTTTTTTCAAGTGAAAAATATGGATGAATTATATAATTACGAATAGCCTTGCAATAAACCTTTGTAATTAATGTTTCAATATGAAAATTTTGCTCATGTATCGCTTAAAAAAGAGTCATTTGTATAAAAATTAATTTAAATTCCCGACGTGTTCGAGAAAATAAAAATTGAACGTGAGTAACTGAATTATTCAAACCATATACTATACAGACAACAACGGTTGTAATGGATTTTCGAGATAAAAATCAGACTTATACTTGTTGTAGTTGTTAATCACTAGCTATATGGCGTCGTCGTCGTCATTTACCCAGTTCGATATAAAAAAATAAATCCATACACAATAATATACAATAATATAATACTTAGAGTATTTTAAGTATTCCAAAGGAAAAAAAACACTGTGGAATGCGATTAGTAATATAGGCAAGCCAGTATTTATCTTTTATCGCGAGTATCTGCGACAGTACCTACAACATAAAATATTATTATATGATTACATATAATATAATATTATTATATTATTATATTATATTATATTCTAATCACAATAATACAACTAAACTACTTAATATAATTCGATCGAAACACATTCAGAAATCGGAACGTGTATTCGACAACAATATAATATTATAATAAATTATAAAATTCGAGTAATCACACATATTATATGGTATAATAATAATTAATAATATTATGTACGGTGCGTTTCAACAGTTTTATATTAACAAAACAAACTAATAAGTAATAATGGTAATATAATAGTAAGTATTGTCGAAAGTCGAATAGAACGAAATGTGCAGAAAGATAAATTTTGGTCGTTTGATATATAGTATTCTATACACTATAATATTATATTTATTAATCATTAGTACTTAAATAGTACTTATTACTAATGTCCTTGCGTTTCAACGATAGCACTATGCAGCAATGTCTATGCAACTTCGATACGTTTTGAGCGGGTTTTATGGAGGACGGGACAATAACAAATGATGGGATCGGATAATCGTTAGGTACTAATGGGTGTCTTTAGATTTTTCAAAGACGCATAAAATATTTCTCACGGTAACAATTCGAACGGTTCCAAGAAAATGAAAACCAACAAAATTGGGAGCGGAAAAGCGTTTTTCATTTTTCTAGCGTTGTTTTGCGCATCACACATCCGCCTCGACGCCTCGTAGCGGATATAATGCGCTATTTATACACACCCATGCCATTGTGATGATGATGATGATAATGATAATAATAATATCATAACGCCGTACAATTAATATCCGTCGCCGCGGTGTTATTAGATATTATATTAAACGGGTAAGAAGAGACGAAAACAAAAGACATGCGTCCGACAAACGACAAATATATTATGGCACATTTTAATCCTCCTCTGTCGTACATCCATGCGGTGCGTTTGTGTCTTGTGTGTATTTCTCTTTCTCACTCTATCAGGTCTCTCCCTTTCTCTTTACACTATCCATCTCTCTCTCTTTCTCTCTTTTTCTCTCGACAACGACGACGATGACGACGTTGTGTATAATATATTTTTTTATAATATACCTGTCGGCTGTCGGTTTTCTTCATTCTTCTTGTCGACACACCGCACTTGTAAGTTTTAATGATAATAATAATATTCCTATTTAATCGACGGCGGCGGCGGCGTAACAGCAATAATAAAAATATAATATTATTATTTTTATAGGCTGGTCTTTAGGGTCACGATAGTACGTCGAACACACCGTACGAACTACGATCCAAACGATGTACTCAAAGCCCGACCGTTTTCGTGAACATAATTATAATATAATATCAAATTGTTATTAATTACTGTTATATAATAATATTATCGCGCGCGCGCTAGTGTGTGTGTGTGTGTGTGTGTGTGTGTGTGTGTGTGTGTGTAAGGCCTTCCATGCCGCCGCCGCCGCCGCCGCCGGAGGACAGCCCTCCGTCATCAGACCGACCGGCGTACACCCCTATATTATATTATTATTGTTATTACGAAAAATCGACGACGGGTGTCATTGCCATGGCGCTGATGAAGGGGGGAGAGGTGACTGCACAACAAAGACGACGGCTCTCTGCTCCTCTCCGACGAGTGAGTGAATCACATGTTTACTTTTACGACACCACAAAAAGAAGACCCGCCGCTGCTCCGGCTCTTGCACCCATTATATTCACGACAATTTATAATATTGTATTTGGCTCGGACATTTTTGTCCGATCGAAAATCAAATTGACGGCCGTAATAGAAATCGCAATCGATTGCTTGTACAATATAATAATATCGTCGAACGAGAATTAAAAGATTATTATTATTACTCATTTACACGATACGTACAACAGTCAACAACAGCAGTTAATGACGTAAATATTATAATACAATATTATACACTTCAACGTAATGTATACACAACCACGCAGGCGTGTTCCCTGGTATTGCCTGTGTAGCATAATATTATTATAGTGACCGGACACACTACCTGCAGTATTGTTGGCGATCGTATTTTTTTATTTTTTGTATTTCATAAAGTATACAGCATACACACATGATTGTGTTTTATTAATACAATTATTGAGTTTTAGAAAAATATCCAATTTTTTAACGCGCGTCGTCTCTTCCCTGTTGATGTAATACTTTTAATGTAAATCGTTTATTATACTTTCTTTTGAATGTTTTAATAAGTTATTGTATACGTATTAGGTACCTGTTATTATTTAATTATCGTTTTCGACTAACTATACGAGATTCTGCAGTGGCGGGTAAACAATTTAAATTGCAAGTCGTCTGTGTCACGGCCATATATGATGCATATAGTTATAATGGTTTTTTTTTTATTTGGTCGAACAATATATACTTTAACGCGGCCGGAAAGATCACACCGTTAGTATAAAGTCGTTGAAAATTTGTTTCGCATCATCGTACGATTTACGTCATGGCGTAATCTCGGTAAACACGAGCGCGCTCGTTTATCGACTCGTTAATATTATATTGTATGCCATATAATGTACGTAATAAAATAACGAATAGTGTGCGAATGGTACGTACAATATGTGCAGCGAGCAAGTTGCTAATTAAATTAGCCTACCAGCTACATAGGTATATTAATGTACGATAATTATTATAATCGTATACCCGCAAAATATACACAGGTACTTACCAAGTAGATTACCTAGGTACTTGAAAAACATTACGAAGAAAATAATATTATAACGAACACAATATCATATACACATGTACATTGTGTGTTTGTGTGCCTGTGCGTAGTGTGCATTCGAGCTAATGGCCACCATAAATCATTCAAACGTTTTATAAAGCAACTGAAAATATGTTGTTCGCGCCGCGGTTCAAAATATTATTTTAATATTGTTCGCAGCGCAACGTACAAATTACGACGATTTAAATGACTGAAATCAAATCGACCATAAAACGTAGTCATTGTGGACACGATTAAAACTCATTCATTACCAGTCTACCATATTACAATAATATGTCTACAATAATAATGTTGCATACACACGTGCGCGATTTTAAACACAGTTT